GTGGGTTTTAATATCCCTCTTGAATTTGGACAGGGATTTTGACTTTCTAGTAGCAGATGGTAAGCTGTTCCACAAAGTGGCCGCTACCTTTCCAAAGCATCGGTTACCATAAGTCACAGTCCGAGAGTTCGGAACGCACAACAAGGATTCTGTCTCCGATCGTAGTGATCGTGACGGCCGATAAACGGTGACAAGTTCCTGCAAATATTCAGGAGCTGTTCCATTTATTGCCTTGTATGTATACATCAAAATCTTGTACTGTAACCGGAATCGCACGGGAAGCCAATGCAATAAGTAAAGGACTGGTGTAATGTGGTCCCTCTTTCGAGTACGGGTAACTAGGCGTGCTGCGGTGTTCTGTACCCTCTGCAGGCGGCTCAGTAGTGTATCAGCTACACCAACGAGTAACGCGTTACCATAGTCTAACCTAGAAGTAACAAGAGAATGTACCAATGTCTTGCATGCATCTGTGGTGATGAACTGACGGATACCCCCAATGTTTCTGATTTGGTGATAACAGGAACTGGCAATTGAGTTTATCTGTTTCTCCATGTTCAGAGAGCTATCAAAGTGTACACCAAGGTTTCTCACAGCTTGGACGGCCTCAATAGTTTGGGCATCGACCTTTAACTGGAGACCTTTAGTGTGTTGATACTTGTGGGAAAAGACGATCAGTTCTGTCTTTTCTTGATTGAGCTTGAGCATATTTGAATTCATCCAAGCACTGATGTCATTTAGACAGGCTTCAAGACTTGCTACTATTATGTCCCAGTTGTCTTGAGGTCTGATAACCATGTAGATTTGTATTATCATACAAAAAAGTTTGTCTGATGCGCTTCTGATCAGCTGTCACAAGTCTTGGTACCCAATGGGCTTAGAGCTTTCTCATTGCAAGATTTTTTGTAAGAATGGAATGTACTCTTTCCTGTGAAATCCCAACTGCACTGGCTATATCTCTCTCTGTAACATGCCAGTTAGTCATAACAATATCATGGACTGACCAATTCTTGAGTTGCAACAGTGACGGGTCTTTCAGGACGAAAGTCATCCCCAACGCTCAGCCTGCCACGCTAAAGTTCTGCCATCCTTTCCACTGCAGCATATGAAGGGGCGTCATTCCATTTTGGTGCTACCACATCAGTATGGATATCTTTCGGTGCTAGACCTTTCGTATGCAAATATTGAATCACTGCTCTTTCAGTAGTTTTGTCTATTTTGCAAAAGTCACATGCTTTGTTTTACTTAAGAGTGCAACCTTTTCGACATAAACTGACCAAATGACACCAATCTTGGGGTACACAGCCTTAAATAGTCAGAGAATAGTAGAGCTTAAAAAGGACATCCCTGCTTAACTTCTTCAAAACAAGGCTCACAACTTAACAATCAGCTATTGCATCAGATTACAAAACATTTTTAAGTTAGATGAATAATATTCCATGATTGAGCACTAAAATTATTTCACCAATCAAATTTAACGTTCTACTCAAGTTAATATCAAAATATATTTTTAAGATTTGACGATGTGTTAAGATATTTACGAATACTGGAAACAAGTTGTTGGTCAAAATTCAGAAAATTATAAGCAACTGCATATATTACAAGCACATAAGAAATTGATTCAAATTAGAATTATTTTGCACATTAAAAGAGTTGAGAGAATAAGGTTTATTGGAAACGTCACAGTAAAAACATTGGGTTGTACAAGAACTCTTTATCCGTTATCTAAAACATGTGCTGATTTTCTCACCGATGGGGATTTACACTTATTGTAGACATTTTCTTTAAATGGAGACAACTTTTTAACAAAATTACTTCACATTTATCTGGAGAAAACATCGTCCAAAGCAGTGAAAAAAGAATGATTCCATGGAAAATTATGTTCAGTTGTCAACCTCAGTTTTTTTTTCTGCGAAATTGTATTTTTCTGGAAAAAAAATCTCTAAAGCAGCGAAAAGGATCAATGATGTCATCAGCTTGAATGAATAATATGTTGCTGTCAGATGAGGGATAATATCAATAGCTGGTGATTTCAACACCATCAGATGGAAAAACAGCAGGCAGGTGTATTCATATTATCACATAGTCGTAACAAACGGATAACAATTTTTTCATCCTTTGTGATATTTTCAGCTACAATTGTTGACATTTTATGATATTCTACAGGTGCAACTGTATTGAAAATATCATTTACTTGGAATTTATCTCAAACCTATTTAACTATATCTTAGTTAACTGCATGACAGCTTTTGATCATCTTTAAACAAAATTATTTCAAATATCCATTTCAAATAACGGTACATGTATAAGAATGTTGAATACTGGTTTTCACCTTAACAACGGAAAACAGACATTTTTATGCACAAAGATTTCAGTTCATTCTCAAATGGAAAAAATCGTAGGATGCAGTTTGATTCATAATTTGGTTTTCCTTAAATTCTAAAGGTGTTTTCATTTGTGTATATTTTTTACAGTCATGGAAGTTAGTCACCAAGATTTGTCCTATCCTGCATACCACATTTGAATTCATACACATGTACTTGACATTTCATTTCAATTCTCGTTCACTATTGAAAATTGAGACATTGATTGAATTTTGTGGGGTAATACATCTTCTCATTTAAATTTTGTAGGGTAATACATCTTCTCATTTAAATTTTGTAGGGTAATACATCTTCTCATATAAATTTTGTAGGGTAATACATCTTCTCATATAAATTTTGTAGGGTAATACATCTTCTCATATAAATTTTGTAGGGTAATACATCTTCTCATATAAATTTTGTAGGGTAATACATCTTCTCATTTAAATTTTGACAGAAGAAAATCAAAATTCGTCAAAATGATTGTCCAGAGTTTGATTTTCTTTTATTTCACTTTTGTCTTTTTTTACAATACTTGATGTCTTATGTAATTGAGATTTTACTATGCCTGAAGACTTCCTGATAATGTGTACTGGTTCGTCCACAATCCACTCATATCTTTCTTTTCGTGAACCCTGTTCTGTGTGCTTATCTTTTTCACGAAAAGTATTATTGACAATACCGTTTTTTTTTTTTTTTTTTTTTCTGTAATTCAAATTTTTCACATCATTTGGTTCATGAACATTTTTCTGCTTCAGGGAAGCTGCATTAGTTTAATTCAAACTTGTGAAACGAGACTTGAGAAACAATTTGAAAATTCACTTTTATATACCCTTGATGGTTTGACTTTTGTGAGACCGTTGGAAAACTTATCTATCATTGGACTCTGAAAGTAAAGGTCTCTGGAGCATAGAGAATCTGTTCACCTACCTTTGAGTCTGAAGACAAACATCATGTTTTGAGGATACTGCTACCTTCGTTTAGATGTAAGGCTCGTATTACGTGGATCTGGAAACCCTAACACCATTTAATCAACAATGTTGCCTGACGTAACCGGTAATTGTGATATTAATTGGGACTTTAAACATCACTATGTCCCTTAATCTAATTTGATTTCATTTATTTCTAGTTCTGAACATATTTTTTCACAAATGTATTAACAGAAAACAGAAACTGTAGTTACTTTGAAAAAGTAGAGAAAAAGTGAATTATAATATTTTTCTTTGCGACGATTTCAAAAAATCGTATTTAGAAATATTAGGAGCTTGTTCGATTGGTAAAACTTTGCTTAAGTTTCTCTTCAATGATCAGAGCATTTTTTACGTGTTTCAAACCTAGGCGACACATACTAAGAGGACAGTCAAATGTTCCTGCATTTAGGATTATTTTCTAACTAAGCATGAGGTGAGATTATTTCATAGTAATGTGGTAAGACTGTTTGGAGTGCACATTAATACGATAAATATTTTGTGGAGGCGTTTTCAGCTGACTGTTCAGGCTGCCCACTAAAAGGACTTTCGCATGTAGTGTTACGTCAGCAAGTATGTATAAACAGAGGTTGTATTTGCATAATCGTTTGCTGCACTGACCACTAAAAGTATTCCAGGAACTAGACTTATGATTTTCGGAACTGTACAGAAAGATTGGAAGCTGATAAGAATACTTTTGTGGCATCCCGTTATCCGTCCATGTTTTGCTTCAATGGATGCGCACTTAGCATGGTGCAGGAGACATCTGTGGTTCATCAATGGGGCTGGTTCAAAGTGCTATCCACAGATAAGTGCAGATTTCAACGTTATTGCAGTGACAGTCATCTTCGGCCAGGGGAACATTACAATGAAGTTTGTGTATTTATGGTCAGTGGTGCCATTACAACGCATGAAAAGACCCTTACAGTGGAATGCAACTTGATCAATGCGCAAGCATACCATTATTTCTCAGCAGCAGGATAACCTACTACCTCATACTGCATGTATTGTTTGGGTATATCTACAACAACAGAATGCACTGGGGCCACCTTGGCCTGCTCTGTCTCTACAATGTTGTCTCTCAATCGAGTATGTTTGTGATGAAGAGGAGCAACATCTACACAAGGAGTCTAACATTCCTATGATGTTGGGTGCATAACGTCATAAATTGCCATGCATATGGTAAAACTTTCCCTGAGCATTTCTGCTTAATTTGATCTCTTCCATGCATGGTAGATGTGTGGTATGCATCCACATGAATGGTGGACATACACAGTATTCAGTGTGTAAAACTGGATTTGTATCCCCTGTGTGACTATAAATTTCAATTCTCATTGCTTGGTGTCTCATTAAGTTTTTCATTATAAGGACACAGTATTTCAAAAGAATGATTAAATGCAAAATATTGATTTACATACAAATACACACCTTTTTTCTATTAGTGTATTTCACTATTTGATAACATTTGTATGTTCCATAGATCTGCAAACATTTGTATGTTCCATAGATCTGCAAACATTTGTATGTTCCATAGATCTTTGTGCCGTGGTAATGAACTCTAGAATCATTGTTATAGGTTGATAAATGTCGAGGTGCAGGTAGTTAACAATAAGATAAAACAAGTTATTTACTGAACAACAAAAATACTAATTTACATTGTTTATTTATTCAGGCAATTGTTAGCACACAGCTTTACATCAGGCAGCTAGTTTATGAGGCCATTCATTTGTCTGAGAAGCATAAGCTAAACAGTGTCGAGCTTCAAGGCATACTCATCCCGGTAGATCAGGTATGTATATAATTCTAACTCCCTGATTTTTACATTCATAACGGAATATCAAACTAGAATTATTTCAGGGTTCTAAAATCAAGGTCATTGTGAATATTTTAGAAAATTCTGTCAGGGTTTAACTGGTCTCATTTCTTGAAGGAATTTGATCAAACTTGGTCAATTTATAAAGGAACATAATATTAAAATTTCAGGATTGTAAGGTCATAGTTCTGGTCACTTTTATAAATTCTTGTTTGTTTTTTAGTGACTTCAGGAATTTTTATTTTACTTCACATTCATATAAAGGAACATATTGTCATAAATGAGTGTGTGATTTGTAGGTAATAGTATGAGGCTGAAGGCCACCATTTCTAAAAGTTCTCAGTACTATTAGTGGCTTCATTCCAAGAGGGGGCAGGGGGTGGGACTTCACTTCATTCTGGTTTGGGGGTGGGGGATTGGGAGTTGGGGTTGTAAGCAAACACCACAAACTTCTAAATGATTGTAATATCACGGAGGAATTTAAGTTTTTGGGGTCTAGGGTCAAGGTCAAGATAATCATTACTATTTTTAGAAAATCTTTGTCAGCACTTCAGTAGCTTCATTTCATCCGGGATTTTTTTCAAACTTTGCACACTTGAATGTCTCCTCTTTAAAACCTGAGTCACATTGGAAATGGGAGAGAATTTGTTTTAATTGCCATGACCTGTCATTGTCTCATTAGGTTATGTTCTAATGTTATTTTCTCACTGAAGACAATAGAAGAAGAAGCCAAGTGGACTTTACATTGCGATGGGGATGACTGGGACCAACATACCCAAGTCATGTTAACTCTGCTAGGAGATCAAATCAAGGTAACATTGATATTTCTTTATAGTGATTAAACATCTTAACACTATATTCATGTTTTATTCCATGACAGACATCATCATTAGCATGTGGGATTCATGAAATTTTTATATCAACAGTTTTCATTTAAATATATGAAATGCTTGAAATAAAATGTGCTCACTGATAAAATTTCTACCAGAACTCTGTAAATTTTTGATTGAGAAGCGCAAATACTCGGAAGTTATGCCAAAACTGTTTACATCTAAACTTGTACTATGTGATATTCCCTCCACAGTGTTGAGGATGATTTATCTGATGTCCTGTATGTAGGCCAGTGTTAAGGATGGTTTATCTGATGTCCTGTATTGTAATTGTTTTCTTGTCTTACTAGAACCACCGACTAATCAAACCATCCAGACGGCTTCAGGAGAAGGAAGGATCCAAACATGTTTCTGACGTTTTAAAATGGCGGTGTTCAGAAGTGCTTCAGCAAGTTCATGTCCAGATCAATATGAAAGCAGCCAATAGGAGTTTCCAGAAATCTAAAAATGTTCTCAAAGACGCAAGCGAAAGAGTGAAGACTTGTAACGTGTGAAATAGGCAATGTTTTCGTTTACGTTTTTAAGTCAATTTTATAAAAAGTTCATTGTTTAGGTATATAACGTTTAAACGTTTCTATAAAGTGAGTTTGATCAAAATATTTACATCAGTCATTGTATGAACAGTTTGAGGAATTTATCCTCAGGGACTATTAGGTATTATTTAGATTATTGCAACTTCCAGTTTGTCATATAGCTTATAATGGTCAAATATGTAGTTTCATACAATGCACCATGTCTGGATCTACTCTATTTATATTGCTTTATATAAACTTGTTTATATAGATATAAACTTCTCTTTGGTTCGGATGTAAGCGTGCGAGGGGTGTAGTTTTGGAAGAAACTGGAGTACCCAAGGAAAACCCACGTGGTCGGGCAGGTGACCCCTTACCTTTTCACGTCTGTTCTGGGAATCGAACCCCAGATAGCTTGGCAAAAGGCGAGTGCCATCTGACCACCTGGTTTATATGGGGTGCTATGCATTTAAATATAAGTGATATTAACTTATTAAGTATTGGTATAAACTAGTATGTAATTTTTTTCAATGAATGCTCATAGTACAGATATTTGTAAATACACATCAGTATTATTTAGAAAGTGAAATATGGTGCATTGTAATTGCATTTTTTTGGGGGGGGGGGCGGTTACAGGGGGGGTCACAAATTTTTGGGAAGTTTGGCACGAAATCCCCCGATAAAAACAAACAAAATGTATTGTTTGTGCCACAAAACAATCAATGAAAACAGATATACCAAGGTTGTAGCTCACAAATTTATTTTTTTGTTTGTTTCATATATGTTACTCACAAATTAACATATTGTTTTACATAGAAATAACTTAATTTTATATTTTAAGAAAATAGATTACAGGATTGTTATAACATTGTTTCATCATATAGTGCTTTGTTACTAGTGTGTATATTAAACACTTTATGTTGTTATTACACATGTATTATATAACCTATGAATGTCATAACTTTATGGCATCATATGTACATTACCAAATCAAAGTGACAGAGTACTCTGAGAACGTCATTTTAGATTTTTTTATATCACTCTAACAAAAACACTTTATTTTTGCAAAAGAACTTTACTCTTGTCTGCATGTAAAATTTATGAAACTTGTCTCGAATTTTCATTTTTACCCGCAAGAGGTTCAGTAAAGTGATTCTCTGAATCATTTCATTACATGGAAAGCACCATAGGACGGTATAAATATCAGCATCTAACTGCTGTTTCATTTATCATTCATAAATGGAATCTTTTATAGATCAACAACGCATTTAAAGATATTTTAATATGAGATGAAGAATGAAAAAATATTTATTACATAAGAAGCTGTAATTAGCTGGTGCTAAGGGATTTTTTTATCTAACCAGACTGCCATCTGTTATTTCATCTTATCATTTTTATTGTTGGACTGTTTTGCCCCTGATGATCAAAGATTTCCTCATTCATTGTCAGATGTATAGTATGTCATTTAAATTATTTTGAGGAAAATACATTTACACTGTTAAGAAATAAAATTAATTTATTGTCATATTAATGGTTTTGTGTTCCTTATGTTTTAATTGATTGTACTTTGTGAAACCTTCATTTGATTGCTTAGTACAAAGTATTGGATGGCGGCATAGGACATGTTCATGGTTCCCAAAGCCATCCTGCTTCATTTGTCGTCATGCACTGTGCATTGTGCACCGTCCGTGAGTAAACTTTCCATTTAAATTACTTCTTCTCAATAACCAAAAGGCACAGGGTTCTTATATTTGTCCTGTAACATACTGGGATGAAGGGCTACCAAGTTTGTTAAAATGACATTGACCCACTTTCAGGGTCACAGTTGTCAAATATGTTAATATCTTTATATAATTTTTTGTCAATAGCAAAAATTTCCAGGGTACCGATATAAGGTCTGTAGTGTGCCAGGGTGAAAGGATACCAGGGTTGTTCATATTGTTTGCCATGACTCTCTTTCAAGTTCACAGGTGCCGAATATACCAAAACTTTTAAACGACTTCTCAATAATACAAAGGCTTAGGGTATGATGAGATGAAGCACTAACAGTTTATTAGAATGAATAACCTTGACAAATTTCGAGGTAATGTACGTGGGGCAAATATGCTAAAATGTATAAAACGACTTTTTTTCAATAGCCAAAAGGATTAGTGTTCTGATATTTCGCCTGCGGCATGATGGGATGAAGGGCTACGAAGTTAGTTGAAATAAATGACCTTGACCCACTTTCAAGATCACAGGGGTCAAATGAGTTGAGGTTTTAAAATTTCTTTTTCAACAAGCAATGGCCCAGAGTGCTGATATATGTGTAGTTGCATGTATAAGGAATATACTTTAGAATTTGCGAAACATGAACCGAAGCGGTAGAGTAGTTGAGCAATCTAGGTTTATTTGGCCGTTTCATATATAAGTCTTTATTTTCAGATGACTGTTAAGGCCTATTGGCCTCTTGTTATGTTACTTATTGTTTGATTATAACGAAATGAAGCTGTGAAATATCGTAAATAATATTCGTAAAAGGTTTGGGAAAAAACATGAAGGCTCTGATGAAAGTAGAGCCACACTGAAGGTGTTGTGTATGCAAATTCTAAATTCGGAAACAAGATCCGCCCATCTGGTCGGAAGCAGTTTTTGGTGAATGGAAATCAATTAGGTATAAAAAGTGAGCCTTTCGACCCCCTCGTTTGGGAGGCGCGGGGCTCAATAAGGAAAACAGAGAATTGGTTAAAATTCTTCTTCTTTAGGGATTCCTGGATGTTGTCTCAATTTAAACTGAAGCATGCTTGGGCGAAGGGAAAATCAGTTTTGTATAAACAGTAAACGACCTAGTGCGGGAGGGGTGAGGCCTAATAGGACAATAGCTTTAGTTTTCCTGTTGGTTCCATTGCTTTCTACCTTGTTCTCATCTGAAAATGTGACAAATAGGCTTCTGATAACAATGTTAATGACGTTCAATGAACTTTAATACGAGTTGTAATGTTTAATAGGTTATAGACTACTTTTGCCTGTCCATTACTGTAAGCTATTTATATATAATATGTGGCGTGTAGAGCCTCACTCTTATTTTGTGAAACCTGAAATGGCTGACGATCGTGAATAAACAACGTTCACACATTGTTACCAAGGATACGGTCGTTTATTAACGAACACAACACAACGAAATATAGTAATTCAAGTCAAGCATTTGCATTGTTCATGTTCATAAGAGCAACTAGCCAAAACTACTACTTTTAACTACATTAAATTGAAACATCTTATAACCCGACACATACCAGACGCGAACGCACTTAAACACGTACACAAAACAGACAGTTGCGTACTCTATTATCAATCTGAGGGGGGAAGATGGGATCATTGTACTTGGAATACGACAATTTGTAAAAATCTATTCATCTTTCAGTTGTGTTATAATTTATATAAGTTTGCTTGTTTTTCAATCCATATGACAATCCCATCTGGCATCAATAAATGAAAACGAGTTAAGATGAAGTACGGTGGTGTGTTATCTATGGCGGACATAGAGATCACCTCTCAGATGCAGGAAAAGTCAACAAAACTTCTGAGTATATTGGCTTTCCTGAATTGTTTGATTGAACAGGTTCGCACATGTGCTATGACTATAACCTGTTTACAATTTTATTATTAATATTCATTTATGGAATAATTCCGTTTCCTGTGTCTTTCGTGGAACAGATGTAGACTTCTTTGGCCAAGATAATGATTCTTTGAATCTCTGAAATAAAATAACAGTGTAGAAGATATTGATATATCTAACAAGGGAGACAATTAAAATATCCTTAAAGTTAACCATTTTCCATCAATAGTGTAACCCACAAATATAATCACAAGAGATCCCAGGAGGATTTTGGACTTTATTATATTTTTATCTTTATATGTTCAATTTATCTTTACTGTTCAGTCCCGAAACGGAAACAAAAACCAGAACAACTTAGGAGTAAGGGAACCGACATATGGATTTTGTTGGGTATTTCGTAAGAAATAGTCATAATTAACTTTCATTGTCAGAATCCAAGATGGCCGCCTGTTAGACTTTTTCTTAGAAATCAGTAGCAAAATTGAAAGGGCACAACTAGGGAGAATACCCATCCTGTGCTTCTCCAGAACTAGCAATACGAAACTTTTTTATTGTCAAAAATCTGTAGCCGCAAGGCAGACATTTTGCTGTGCTCACTGAAAATTTTCGCGGCAGTGTCATTTCGGTCCGGGAGCATAACTTTGCCAACAGTTAAGCAAGGATCATGAAACTTAGTATATACATTGGTTATATTAAAGGGATGTGCAGTGTACCAAATCCAGGGCCCTCGACGCCTAGTTTACAGAGTTAATGCCCAATTAAGTCCTTTTCGGGGAACATTTACCAGTTTCACTAATACCCATTTTTTCTGATCAGTCATAAAATTTAAATGACACAGGCAGCGGCTACGGAAATCGTCCTATTACATGTGAGAAATATCCACCCAGTACTTCTTAAGAAGAGCCCTTACAATGATTGCTTACGGACGGACGTTCCAAGGATGTAGGAGGTGCAACACTGGCTGTGGGGCACGGCCTTGTATCATACAATACATCAAGTAAACATGGATTATAAACTTTTAAAAAGCAGCCGTTCTGCTCTATATGATTACAATACGGAACACTTTATAAAGTACCAACATCGTAGGAATTACAGTATTTTGTCCAAATTTGGCGTAAAGTATCCTTGTGTGAAGCGAAGGTTTTAAAAAAGGCAGATCTGACCCCCAGAATCCAGAACATCCATTCTAAGAAAGTCCAAATATGTAGAGATATACCAATTTTGACAAAATGTGTTAGAACTATTCTGGGGAGGATAGAGGGAACCAATTGTGTATAAGTCGTGGATTGCGACGTCATGCGGGCAAAGGAGTGTGGCAAAATAGAGGAGATAGATATTATCTATGATAGTTATCTTCTATATTCACAAGATATTGTTTAAGATGAGTTTTGAGGGTTAAAATTAGATACAGAACGGGAGACGAGAGAGAGAGAGAGAGAGAGAGAGAGAGAGAGAGAGAGAGAGAGAGAGAGAGAGAGAGAGAGAGAGAGAGAGAGAGAGAGAGAGAGAGAGAGAGAGAGAGAGAGAGAGAGAGAGAGAGAGAGAGAGAGAGAGAGAGAGAGAGAGAGAGAGAGAGAGAGAGAGAGAGAGAGAGAGAGAGAGAGAGAGAGAGAGAGGGAGAGAGAGAGAGAGGGGCGGATTGTATTGATTGTAGAATGAAAGTAAAATCAAAGTGGCTAGATTGCTTAGTAAAATGGTTGCTTTGGGAGGAACAGATACTGAACCTATCACTGCTGAAATTTGTATGGATGGCTTTTACCAGGTTTTTGTTTTCATTATCATGTGTAGCGTAATGTGGGACATTGCTTTTGACACAGAGATTCGTTACGGTATTTTGTGCATGATTAATTAAGAAATATATACCTCTCCTCTGTTCCGGGTGGTACTAGGTTGTACTTCTCATTCCTCTCCAATGTCAGACAGTTGTTTAATCGCTTCCAATGGTAGAGTTTCGGTGTTGCTCCTAAAATTGACATCTGCCGGTTGCTCTCTACTTGTTTTCAACAGACAGTAAAAAATTGTCCACATGCATGATGCAAAACATAAAGCGAGTCCAACACAAATAAATATTGTAACGATAGGGGCACTTAAGTTAGACATTTTGTCTGATTTACGTCGATCCGAAGGATCTTGGAATATGTGTTCAAGTGATCCACTTTGAAAGGTTTTCACAGAAAGGTGAAGAAAACATGATGTGTTCCACACAATCCAATTATCGCAACGGATTGACTTAACGGACGATTAAACAAAGTAGTACCATTTCAGTGTGAACGATCAGTTTGTTCCACAACAATACTGGTTTGTGACCATGAGTACCGGTCCTGTTTTGATAACTCTTGTTCTGATTGCAAGCTTGTGTTTAACTGGGCTTGTATGTACGTGTGTGGGTACAATATGCTGCAAACACGGCCGGTCGAGGAAGAGAAGCAGAGAATCTTGTACAGCGTCTACAAATCATACCACAGCTGTCGAACCACTTGTTTTGAATTCCTTCCAAAGTTCTTCATGGATCAAAACGGTAAGTTTTAAAAATCGCTTCTATTCATGTTCTGATACAGTCATTAACGTAAGAAAAGTTGGAAGAACTATGAATTGAATAGAATCAGCTGGAGAGTAGAGCCTTCAGTTTGTCAGTTGAATCAACAATTTTAGTTTCCTTCTCATTTGCTGTAACCTCATGCCACGTTTTAATTCATTCTAATAGCGTTACACAACGTTCTTCTAAATTCATCATAAAAACACGACATTTATTAAATCATGAGGCTAGTGACCATCCTGAATTTGACGTTTTCATTGGTTATTTTGGATTTTGTTCTGTCGCTTCCCAGGATTTCTAATAATTTAGGCCTTTAACATCACTGACTTATCTTAAAGGGGCCAAACAGCTGCACGCTGCAGTTGAATTTATTACTTAGCATTACTGCATTTCTAATTCTAAATTTGTATTAAAAGGAAAAATTCAATTATGTGTCTCGTGTACAATCTTGTTATGGACGGAAAATCAAAATTAATCGAAAGAATGATAATAGCAAAAAATAATAAATACAAAAAAATAATAAATACAAAAAAATAATAAATACAAAAAAATAAATACATTCAATGGTTCCATAATATTTGATAATGTCAGTGGATTGTCTAGTATATCAATTAAAACACAACATGAAGGTTACGACAAGGTGACTGATGTGAGTCATATAATTTATTTATAGACTTGAATCAAGAGATTGCCAAGGCAACATCATATACTAACAATACAAAATAACGTTCTCAAGAAGACACGCGTGAATAGCATCTTCCAATAACGGTAAGACATTGTGGCGAGGGAGATGTTGTAGGTTACACTTATCAGGTTGGCTTTTTTATGAGAATAGCCATGAATTATCGTAGATTTAAATAGCAGATCTCATCCGTTCGACATTAAAGTAAATGTGTACCCTTTTCTCTCTCTCTCTCCCCCTCTGGTTTCGGAGGTTAGTGTCCGGTTGGATGATGAGTATATATGTGGCCAGAATTAACATTACGTCAGTGATGAAATCTCTCTGTACTTTTCATTTCCGTTTGTGTCTTTCATAAATTCAAGAAACGATTAATAACTGGCTAGTAGTAACATTTATATTAATCAGGATTCGGTGTTATAGCAGAAAAGTGTTTATCACAAAATTTGATTAAAGCGTGTTTATTCACCGCAACCGTTAACGGAGCTGTTAATTCCACTAAACACTCTTCCCTCGTTGAGAGAGGTGCGTGGTTCGACGCTCCTTTCCCGTGGTCATTTGTGTTTTTCATGAAGGTGAGAAACAAACTGGTATGTCCAGATGTTGTTGTGTATATGAGAAAGACGCTTTGCCCTAATTGCTCTGCATTTCATGCGACGGTCCTCTCGTACGTATGTTGTTCAATGACAGAGTCACCAGCTGCTACATGGAGGCATCGCCTCAAAATGACACTGGCTGTTCATCAGGCGATAAACCAAACAAACGTTTTTATATTGAAGGAAATGTTTAATGCATTATACACAATTCCACGTCTATCTATGTTATATTTCAAAAGAAATTGTATTTTTTTTTTTTTTTTTTAATTCCTTGTTTTGAAGCATACATATTATTTGATTAGAAAGTTAAAAAAAAATTGGCAGATTATTCAATAACAGACAATACCATTTGTCATTTGCTGCCATGTTTTCTGTTCCAGAATGTGGAAGACATCCAACAAGAGCACATTCGCAAGTTGGGAGAATCTGCAGCATGACAAGAAAATTGTGCCGACAGACGTACCACATACCCAAAAGAAAGAAAATCTGCCATATTACAAGCTCTACGTTGAGGGAAGCTATTGTTACTTACAACTGAAAATGTTGACCTCTATCGCATGCAGATCAATTAAATCATTATGTTTATAAGTAAATGTATTCATTTGGTTGTAGTCTTTACACTTGTGAATTGGTTGATATAAATATTTGTTTCCTACATTTAAGAATAGAGAAAGTAAATGATGTTTATAAGTTGGTTACTTCATAAACAACAAGTATATATGATACAGACTGTTCACACAAAATCAGGAATACGACTTTCATATCTCCAGATATGAAGCTTCCGAACCCCTAGTTTTTTCATTATTTTCTTTTGGCGTCAGAGTGTCCTTATACCGGCTGTAAACGCTCCATATTAGATTACAAAAACTTAATATTATATAAACGTTGCTTATTGTAAAATCAAATAGTCTTTTGATGGACTCAATTTTCGTGTTTTGTAATATAAAAATAAACTATTTTGTGGACTTGGTTCATTGCGTTTATTGTTGCTTTACGTCCTCTTAACAGCCAAGAACATTTAAGAACGTGCCAGGTTTTGGTGGTGGAGGAAAGCCGGAATTTGTCGAGATAAAACCACCGACCTTTGGTCAGTACCCTGGCGACTACCAAAAGGAAACCGCGAAGCCCCCATTCAACGAACTGATCACACAGCTATCTCGGCCTCGAATTCATTTTGGACATTTGATTTCGTGGACCTTTACGAAATCGTTAGAAATAAATCCCCCCAATATTAATAATTTGACAGTAAATGTGAAATATGAAATTTGACATGATACGTGTATATTTAAGTTATAGATAAAAACAATAATTTGCCCCTGAAACCATTTTGTTGTAGTGGCGTTGTCAGTTTCGACCAAGGAGCAACACCTACTGCATTAGGCATAATAGGGCAGTCCATTTGATCTCTAACAATGGCAATTTGTTCTGTTAATGTTTCATGAATATCTGTGTTTATAAATATGAATGAAAAAAAAAATGAATATTTAAAAAAAGTTATTGTACCTGTATCGAAATGTAAAATAATATTTACGACGTCGGGCAAAAATGTACAAAGAAGTACAAACCGAGAGAAGTCGGGCAAAAATGTACAAAAAAGTACAAACCGAGAGAAGTCGGGCAAAAATGTACAAAAAAGTACAAACCGAGAGAAGCCAGTTACGTGCGCCTCTTGAAAGAATAAAACTTTACCTGTAAACATTATGCATTGCTAGCTGAGGTATATTCCATATTTTACGTATCAAATAGAACATTGCCATACACACACATGGAATGCGCGAACAACTGCGAAGTTGAAACAATAAACGTTAATGTTGATTTGGCAAACATCAACAGGATTTATAGGGAGTTGGTCGGGACAAGTTTTTAAACATTTCAACAACCACAGAAGAACAAACATCATTTATTTAAGAAAAGATTCTGCAAGGCTAATTATGTGAGACTTTTCTTGGAAATGAATATATCTAATTGCAGTAAAAGTCAAGGATGCTGGACAAAGAACATGGAAACTATTCGATCCAAATGTTTCGAAAATGCATTCAACTCGTTCTTGGATGTTGAAATATTAGATTGATCAATATATCAGTAGAAAAAAGATTGGTAGGAAATAAGAAAAATAACAAAAACTCAAAGCTTTGTCTAAAAAAAGTGTCTCTTTAATGGAAAGAAATAGGAAAGTAGCGAAAGCAAAAAACTAGAAATATAACAGTAGGAAGCTCGATGATAAAATTGATTTGAACGCTCCAAAATATAAGGTTGAATGCATTTGACAGAAACATGAAATCATGTGCTCTGGTTTGAGCCAAATATGAAGGGTAGATTAAAAATGGTGCACGAGTTTTCAAAAAGTCGCATTTGCATAAATAGACATCTCTCTAAATTCTTCTGTGTATCTAGGTTAGTAAAACAGGGATGCCCTATAGCACTGATTCTATAAATCATCCATGTTGAGACTTGAGCATGCTCTATTAGAAATGACAGTTATATAAATGGTAATGAGAAACGTAACGACATCAGTTCATAATGTCAGACAGACATTAACAGGTGTGTAGACGATTCTCAGCTTCTTGCTAGTTGCAAAAACAGCCTGCCTAAAATATTCAACACTTACCCAGAAATGAAAACCTATTGGGAGCAAAAGTTAAAAAGGATTTAAAAAAATGACTGTGTTTAGAAATATGGGAACAAAAAATGTTCAAAAAGGGAAATTTCGTGGTTAAAAGACAACATCAAAGCACTTGGCATATACCATGGCTACAAAACTGAGCAATATAAGGTATAAATATACAAAATAACGAAGATGCAGGACATGTTGATGCAATGGAAAAAGAGAAATAATTACAACAATTGAAGAGAAAGCCCTGATAAAGTACACGTAAATATATTTTTTCAGTAATATATATATATATCCCAAAATACTTTTCCTCATTAACATAAAGATTTAAATAAAATACCTTATGTAAGTATTTCTATGGAAAAGTGAAATTCGAAAAGTGTCAAAGTATTGTTTCTGATTACGATCAAAGCATGGCCTGAGTATGCTGGATACAGAAATAAAATCAAAGTCAAGCACAAAAACGGCTTTACCAGAATGACGTCTTGCCTCACTTGGAAGTTTTCATAACAAGCCATGCTTTTAACATTTAACATGGATATAATCACACCGTTTCAATCATTAATTGACGGAGTTCTTTCTGCCGGAAGTGTCGTCATATACTCATTTCTATTCTTAGAAGATAGCAATCTTTCCTTTTCCGATGTTTTGGTGTTGTTTTCATCGATTGTGTCCTTAAGAGGAACACCTTTGGTCTCTGGTACAAACATTGTACAGAATGCGGACAAGAGCATGAGACCTCCACATAAGAAATACATAATCCCTGGAACACGATTATTCTGAAATAAACAAGAAAATAAGTTTTTGTCATATTAAAACAGTTCAACTTGTTATACTAACATGTATAATATTTTTCTGTTTCATTATGGAAATCTGGGTTTCGTCCTTAAATGTCTTTTTGTACAAGATAGTTATACATATGTGCTTTGCACGTGCACACGTTATGTAGTTCAAGTGCTATTAAAACTCATTTGGATATTTATACGTTATATGTGGAAAATAGAATTACAGAATTTATCTAATTATGGGGCTGCTGCACCTCCCCGTCTAGATTTTGAATTTTCTTTTCATCACTTTGGATTTTCCTTTGTCGCTTCCTAAGCTTCAAACTTTAGGCCCTTGGCATCACTGACGAGTCCTAGAGGGACGAAACAGCTGTATGATGCAATTAAATTCATTGTTTGCTTCTACTGTATCCCACTCTAAATTATGAAAAGGCGCTATTCACTTGTGTGTCTTTTGTACAATCTCTTGCGAAGACTAAAAGATTGTCGGATATTGCTTAAACAGCGATTTATCAGAAAAAAGTTCAACAGAGCAAACGAGTTAGCCGTAATTGAGTCAGCAAGATATTGTTGTATGATATGCCCAAAAATCAAAATAAGGTTGAGCTTCATAGATCAGTTATATGAAACAGATTCCTTAAACAACTTATTGTGAACAGGTCCTTAATTCAAACTTAAACTCAATAAAGTTATGGCAAATATGATTAAAACAATGTTTTAATTGAATACGCATGAAACTATACAAGGAGAATCAACCAGATGTTTCGGAATGGTAAACGTCTGCAACTTCAACGATAACACCTATCAACAAAATTTTACTCAATCCAAGTAATTAATAACATGTTCCTCATGAGAACAAAGCAAACAATGACGAAATCACAAATCATAACATAGAACATCAAACGCATCCATCTTCATATTGAAAAAAAAGCCAGGACACATCCCAATGAGGCTAGCATGACGACCGTTAACATTTTAAACACACTAGGTGCGAATACAGCATCCGTTTGATTGACAAAACGGTACCGCTAAACAATGTGAGACATACCCATCAATAAGACAAACAATGTGAGATACACCCATTAATAAGACAAACAATGTGAGACATACCCATCAATAAGACAATGTGAGACATACCCATCAATAAGACAATGTGAGACATACCCATCAATAAGACAAACAATGTGAGACATATCCATTAATAAGATAAACACTGTGAGACATACCCATCAATAAGACAATGTGAGACATACCCATCAATAAGATAAACAATGTGAGACACACCCATCAATAAGACAATGTGAGACATACCCATCAATAAGATAAACAATGTGAGACATACCCATCAATAAGATAAACAATGTGAGACATACCCATCAATAAGATAAACAATGTGAGACATACCCATCAATAAGATAAACAATGTGAGACATACCCATCAATAAGACAAACAATATGAGACACACCCATCAATAAGACAAACAATGTGAGACATACCCATCAATAAGATAAACAATGTGAGACACACCCATCAATAAGACAAACAATGTGAGACACACCCATCAATAAGATAAACAATGTGAGACATACCCATCAATAAGATAAACAATGTGAGACATACCCATCAATAAGACAATGTGAGACATACCCATCAATAAGATAAACAATGAGAGACATACCCATCAATAAGACAAACAATGTGAGACATACCCATCAATAAGATAAACAATGTGAGACATACCCATCAATAAGACAATGTGAGACATACCCATCAATAAGATAATGTGAGACATACCCATCAATAAGACAAACAATGTGAGACATACCCATGAATAAGACAATGTGAGACATACCCATCAATAAGACAAATAATGTGAGACACACCCATCAATAAGACAATGTGAGACACACCTATCAATAAGACAATGTGAGACAGAGCCATCAATAAGACAAACAATGTGAGACATACCCATCAATAAGATAAACAATGTGAGACATACCCATCAATAAGACAATGTGAGACATAGCCATCAGTAAGACAAACAATGTGAGACATACCCATCAATAAGACAATGTGAGACATACCCATCAATAAGATAAACAATGTGAGACATACCCATCAATAATAGAAACAATGTGAGACATACCCATCAATAAGACAAACAATGTGAGACATACCCATCAATAAGACAATGTGAGACATACCCATCAATAAGATAAACAATGTGAGACACACCCATCAATAAGATAAACAATGTGAGACATACCCATCAATAAGATAAACAATGTGAGACACACCCATCAATAAGACAAACAATGTGAGACATACCCATCAATAAACACACCCATCAGTAAGACAAACAATGTGAGACACACCCATCAATAAGACAAACAATGTGAGACATACCCATCAATAAGATAAACAATGTGAGACACACCCATCAATAAGACAATGTGAGACATACCCATCAATAAGATAAACAATGTGAGACATACCCATCAATAAGACAAACAATGTGAGACATACCCATCAATAAGATAAACAATGTGAGACATACCCATCAATAAGACAAACAATGTGAGACATACCCATCAATAAGACAAACAATGTGAGACATACCCATCAATAAGACAAACAATGTGAGACATACCCATCAATAAGATAAACAATGTGAGACATACCCATCAATAAGACAAACAATGTGAGACATGTGAGACACCCATCAATAAGACAAACAATGTGAGACATACCCATCAATAAGACAAACAATGTGAGACATACCCATCAATAAGATAAACAATGTGAGACATACCCATCAATAAGATAAACAATGTGAGACATACCCATCAATAAGACAAACAATGTGAGACATACCCATCAATAAGACAAACAATGTGAGAGACAAACAATGTGAGACATACCCATCAATAAGATAAACAATGTGAGACATACCCATCAATAAGATAAACAATGTGAGACATACCCATCAATAAGATAAACAATGTGAGACATACCCATCAATAAGATCAATAAGACAATGTGAGACATACCCATCAATAAGATAAACAATGAGAGACATACCCATCAATAAGACAAACAATGTGAGACATACCCATCAATAAGACAAACAATGTGAGACATACCCATGAATAAGACAAACAATGTGAGACATACCCATCAATAAGACAATGTGAGGCATACCCATCAATAAGACAATGTGAGACATACCCATCAATAAGACAAACAATGTGAGACACACCCATCAATAAGACAAACAATGTGAGACATACCCATCAATAAGATAAACAATGTGAGACATACCCATCAATAAGACAAACAATGTGAGACATACCCATCAATAAGATAAACAATGTGAGACATACCCATCAATAAGACAAACAATGTGAGACATACCCATCAATAAGACAAACAATGTGAGACATACCCATCAATAAGACAAACAATGTGAGACATACCCATCAATAAGATAAACAATGTGAGACATACCCATCAATAAGACAAACAATGTGAGACATACCCATCAATAAGACAATGTGAGACATACCCATCAATAAGATAAACAATGTGAGACATACCCATCAATAAGATAAACAATGTGAGACATACCCATCAATAAGATAAACAATGTGAGAAACAATGTGAGACATACCCATCAGTAAGACAAACAATGTGAGACATACCCATCAATAAGACAATCTGAGACATACCCATCAATAAGATAAACAATGTGAGACATACCCATCAATAAGACAATCACTGTGAGACATAGCCAGCAATAAGACAAACAATGTGAGACATACCCATCAATAAGATAAACAATGTGAGACATACCCATCAATAAGACAATAAACAATGTGAGACATACCCATCAATAAGATAAACAATGTGAGACATACCCATCAATAAGATAAACAATGTGAGACATACCCATCAATAAGACAAACAATGTGAGACATACCCATCAATAAGACAAACAATGTGAGACATACCCATCAATAAGATAAACAATGTGAGACATACCCATCAATAAGATAAACAATGTGAGACATACCCATCAATAAGATCAATAAACAATGTGAGACATACCCATCAATAAGACAAACAATGTGAGACATACCCATCAATAAGATAAACAATGTGAGACATACCCATCAATAAGATAAACAATGTGAGACATACCCATCAATAAGACAATGTGAGACATAGCCATCAATAAGACAAACAATGTGAGACATACCCATCAATAAGATAAACAATGTGAGACATACCCATCAATAAGATAAACAATGTGAGACATAGCCATCAATAAGACAAACAATGTGAGACATAGCCATCAATAAGACAAACAATATGAGACACACCCATCAATAAGACAAACAATGTGAGACATACCCATCAATAAGATAAACAATGTGAGACATACCCATCAATAAGACAAAACAATGTGAGACATACCCATCAATAATCAATAAGACAAACAATGTGAGACATACCCATCAATAAGATAAACAATGTGAGACATACCATCAATAAGATAAACAATGAGACAACCCATCAATAAACAATGTGAGACATACCCATCAATAAGATAAACAATGTGAGACATACCCATCAATAAGATAAACAATGTGAGACATACCCATCAATAAGATAAACAATGTGAGACATACCCATCAATAATATAAACAATGTGAGACATACCCATCAATAAGACAAACAATGTGAGAGACATACCCATCAATAAGATAAACAATGTGAGACACACCCATCAATAAGACAAACAATGTGAGACACACCCATCAATAAGATAAACAATGTGAGACATACCCATCAATAAGACAATGTGAGACATACCCATCAATAAGATAAACAATGTGAGACATACCCATCAATAATATAAACAATGTGAGACATACCCATCAATAAGACAAACAATGTGAGACATACCCATCAATAAGACAATGTGAGACATACCCATCAATAAGATAAACAATGTGAGACATACCCATCAATAAACAATGTGAGACATACCCATCAATAAGATAAACAATGTGAGACATACCCATCAATAAGACAAACAATGTGAGACATACCCATCAATAAGATAAACAATGTGAGACATACTCATCAATAAGATAAACAATGTGAGACATACCCATCAATAAGACAATGTGAGACATACCCATCAATAAGACAAACAATGTGAGACATACCCATCAATAAGATAAACAATGTGAGACATACCCATCAATAAGATAAACAATGTGAGACATACCCATCAATAAGATAAACAATGTGAGACATACCCATAAGACAAACAAATAAGACACACCCATCAATAAACAATAAGACAAACAATGTGAGACATACCCATCAATAAGATAAACAATGTGAGACATACCCATCAATAAGATAAACAATGTGAGACATACCCATCAATAAGATAAACAATGTGAGACATACCCATCAATAAGATAAACAATGTGAGACATACCCATCAATAAGACAAACAATGTGAGACATACCCATCAATAAGACAAACAATGTGAGACATACCCATCAATAAGATAAACAATGTGAGACATACCCATCAATAAGATAAACAATGTGAGACATACCCATCAATAAGATAAACAATGTGAGACATACCCATCAATAAGACAAACAATGTGAGACATACCCATCAATAAGATAAGACAATCAATGAAAACAATGTGAGACATACCCATCAATAAGATAAACAATGTGAGACATACCCATAAGACAATGTGAGACAATAAGATAAACAATGTGAGACATACCCATCAATAAGACAAACAATGTGAGACATACCCATCAATAAGACAAACAATGTGAGACATATACCCAATCATACCCATCAATAAATAAACAATGTGAGACATACCCATCAATAAGACAATGTGAGACATACCCATCAATAAGATAAACAATGTGAGACATACCCATCAATAAGACAAACAATGTGAGACATACCCATCAATAAGATAAACAATGTGAGACATACCCATCAATAAGATAAACAATGTGAGACATACCCATCAATAAGATAAACAATGTGAGACATACCCATCAATAAGATAAACAATGTGAGACATACCCATCAATAAGATAAACAATGTGAGACATACCCATCAATAAGATAAACAATGTGAGACATACCCATCAATAAGATAAACAATGTGAGACATACCCATCAATAAGAAAATGTGAGACATACCCAACAATAAGAAAAACAATGTGAGACACACCCATCAATAAGACAAACAATGTGAGACATACCCATCAATAAGATAAACAATGTGAGACATACCCATCAATAAGATAAACAATGTGAGAAACAATGAGACAACCCATCAATAAACAATGTGAGACATACCCATCAATAAGATGAGACATACCCATCAATGACAAACAATGTGAGACATACCCACAATAAGATAAACAATGTGAGACATACCCATCAATAAGATAAACAATGTGAGACATACCCATCAATAAGACAAACAACATACCCATCAATAAGATAAACAATGTGAGACATACCCATCAATAAGATAAACAATGTGAGACATACCCATCAATAAGAAAAACAATGTGAGACATACCCATCAATAAGATAAACAATGTGAGACATACCCATCAATAAGATAAACAATGTGAGACATACCCATCAATAAGACAAACAATGTGAGACATACCCATCAATAAGACAAACAATGTGAGACATACCCATCAATAAGACAAACAATGTGAGACATACCCATCAATAAGATAAACAATGTGAGACATACCCATCAATAAGATAAACAATGTGAGACATACCCATCAATAAGACAAACAATGTGAGACATACCCATCAATAAGATAAACAATGTGAGACATACCCATCAATAAGATAAACAATGTGAGACATACCCATCAATAAGACAAACAATGTGAGACATACCCATCAATAAGACATACCCATCAATAAGACAAACAATGTGAGACATACCCATCAATAAGATAAACAATGTGAGACATACCCATCAATAAGATAAACAATGTGAGACATACCCATCAATGTGAGACATACCCATCAATAAGATAAACAATGTGAGACATACCCATCAATAAGATAAACAATGTGAGACATACCCATCAATAAGATAAACAATGTGAGACATACCCATCAATAAGATAAACAATGTGAGACATACCCATCAATAAGACAAACAATGTGAGACATACCCATCAATAAGATAAACAATGTGAGACATACCCATCAGATAAGATAAACAATGTGAGACATACCCATCAATAAGATAAACAATGTGAGACATACCCATCAATAAGAAAAACAGAGACATACCCATCAATAAACAATGTGAGACATACCCATCAATAAGATAAACAATGTGAGACATACCCATCAATAAGATAAACAATGTGAGACATACCCATCAATAAGATAAACAATGTGAGACATACCCATCAATAAGATAAACAATGTGAGACACACCCATCAATAAGATAAACAATGTGAGACACACCCATCAATAAGATAAACAATGTGAGACATACCCATCAATAAGATAAACAATGTGAGACATACCCATCAATAAGACAAACAATGTGAAAACATCTCTGTTACAAAGACGCAGTAAACTTATGTAGGATAGTATTAAGTGCCCATGCACGAACGTAGCCTAGATATACTTGGGGACACGTTTTACTGACTGGTCTTAAACAGGTACATAAGTACGACCACCAAGTTTTAGTTTTGTACTGGTCTCAAATGTTGGAACTAATCTGATTGTGTAATCTGTTTATGTGATTTCAAATAAAAATTGGTATTTGCCTTTCTTTTATACAATATAACAATTAATTCAGTTCCCTTTAATTGATCTGGCGGCTATCACATACGATTTTCTGATCACAATGAAACGCATACAAACATTTTTTTTATTTGATACATTTCACTTACTGTTAAATGATTAATTTTCGTGGGGATTTCTTTTCATTGGTTTCGTGTGTACTGTTGATCCGCGAAATCAAATGTCCACAAACTTTAAAAATATGTATAGATAGATTAATTGAACTATAGTTATACAAGAAATCAGGTGTCCAAGGAATTTAATTGTTGTGAAAATACACGCAAATTAAGGCCCATGACGATAAGATTACATTACAATTAAAAAGAAATATTTTTATCGTTTTAAGTCTTCACTAACACATGTCTATAGTTATGTTATTAAGCAAGTTATCATTCGAGAATGTATCTCGTCACCTGGTCTAGAACACCATGTCTTATTCTCCTGGGTGTTTTTCCGTGTGAATTATCCATATTTGGCTTCCTTTCTTATTTGGATTAGAGATACAATTGTTTTGATATGTTGTTTTGTTTTACCATTTAGATTTGCGTTTCACATACAGGTAAAGTAAAACCTGGGTGCTTGAACCCGGGGTATATCTACATGAAAATCGATAGTTTTATGAAGTTTAGGGGAAATATTGATCATCAATCACACCTACGAGTAATGAAGTCACTGTGCCCGGAGGATATGTTGGTATTTCCAAGCCATACCTAGGATAGTCACAGTTTTAATGCGGCATCCGGAAGTGTCGCTCTAGCTTTAATACCATGTCTAGTTGCAACATGATGTATACGATGATTCTGATTGGCTGACTGGGTTTTCACGTGAAGGGGTAGGCGAGTACGATTTTCATCAAACTGATCACAAACTTTGTAATATGAACCATAATTTACAAGAGAATACGACGGAGTCTAAACAGTCTGCCACTATATAGCATCACATTAGGTCATTGCCATCGCGCTTAAGTGGTACACTGACTGAAGACTATATTAACCCGAGTAAGCAGGATATTGACACCAATAGAATATCCTCGTACACACTTCTACACATAGCCTTCAAACGGGATCATATTGCTAACAGAAAAAAAGCTGAAGTTAACAGTCATGCGGGATCTGTATGTGGCAGTACTTGTGCTGCTCTTTGTCTCCACAGTAACAGCAGGGGGCTACGGACACCGTCGAAAACACCACGCCAATATCTATGGTCATAATATTATAAGAACATTCCCAACACATCAGCAATATTCCTTCGGTGGACAAACGTACTTTGAAAATCCGATTCAGAATAGATTTCAGTATGTTACCTATCAGAATCCTGTTATAACTGCGGCCACCGTCCCGTTTCAAGGTAATAGTGTGATAACTGCTACTGGAATACCTTCTTCTTTCGCAAATGGCGCCTTCACTGGAACAATTGGAACGACAGGAGTTCTTCTACAACATCCTCCACAAAACATCTACCCGAGCCAGACTCTTAGACTCGCATACCCCAGTACTCCGGTTGTCCCAGGAAATGTAGGCAGTCCAGGAATGACATTCCTTTCGGGAGCAACACAGAGCGTGCCTTTTCAATCTCCTGGTACTATTAACCTAGGAACCCAGAGCATAACTGCAGGTGGAATACCAGTTTCTCCTCTTGGTACCACCATACAGACTTCAAATGGGCCATTTCCATCCTCAACACTAGCATCTCCAGTTGGAATCACCACCGGAAGTACAATAATTCAAAATGGAGCTGCTGGTGGGATCGTCCCATTCAGTACGCAGCCAACTTCCGTGAGCTTACCTACTTCGTCGATCGGAAATATCCAAAATGGTGTGGCATTCCAGGATGTCGGTTTTAATTTGCCCGTAACCTCCAATTCTGCTTTTGACTCGGTGCCACAAGCATACGAACAAGAGCAAAATGGTCTTAAAACTGGCGTACCAACACTTGGCAATCCATTCAATGTAGAGGAGAAAGTCGGAATCCCTGAATTCGGGGGTTGGGCTCCACCTGTTGTGAACGACATTGTCATCAGGGAAGACAATGCACTTCCAACGAGAATACAACATCGATCACTGGCTTCTATACTGAGGAAATTTCACATGAAGTAGCACTTAATAAGGTTTGTAATCTTGATATATTTTAGTGCCAAACTTTCATATCAATTTGTAAATAACATTTTTCACATTTACAATTGTATTTGTTATTTCATCATACATGTAAAATATTTTTCCAATCAGATGACCTCTGCGGTAAACACACGGTTTAAACATATAAAATCGGTTATTAAAACAAAACAGAACCTTTATATTGAAATACCTTAATTCATATAAATTTATTTATATATAGAAATCATTCATCTGAAATTTGCATTTCTGGCGGTTATCAACCTCAATAAATGCAGGACTTATTCGTCAGCGTAATACGATATGAAGACACATATCCGTCTAGATTTAGGAAAAGATGAGCTTATGGTTAAAAATTAATGCGGATGTTTGACGTCTTTGGGAATGCCCTGTACATTATTGCAGGTACGCGTTTCAAAAAATCCATGTGGTGTTTCCGCTCTAATCGCGCAAGTACGCTTACGCTGATACTTACTAACCTCGGATGATATTTGATATAGGCAAAGTGTGATAAACAGAATCAGAATGATGTATCACTTCACAATCAACGAATCGAGATATGTGTTTCTTTTATCAATAACTCTTAAAATGTCAATCGACGTGAACTTCAACTGGTGCCTCGTTCCATAACTATTAACCAGGATAACTATAGTGAAATCATTAGGCTGACGAAAGAGTACCACAAGACTTCGATCTTCATATACCATTAAACATCTCCCAATGAGATTGAGAACATTAAATATGACAGACAGGGTTTCCATTAATTTAGTTGTCATAGTATAAATACTTCCTACACTAGATAAAAAAGTTAATCTTCAATTGAGTCAAGTAGTTCGTGTACAGCAAATGCCAAACAATACCTATTGATAACTAATCACACACATCAATATTCGTATTAATTCATTGATATAGTTGTCATAATAGGTCTTAATAGGGTTGGCAAAGAAATCTTAGGTTATGTTGAAGATGAGCTTTTATTGATCCAGTGTAGAAAGCTAATTTGGCATAGAAAAAAAGCGTCGTTAATATTTATTAGCATTAATTTAATTGAATTAATATGACTTTATTTCTCTTTTCAGCAAATCACACACAGGATGAATTCGCGTACTAAACAGTCACCGAAGGGGCAACATTGTCTAATCTATACTTAAATGATGGAGAGGTCGTTTGAATACATCAAGGAATCGGATTAGGAACAAGATAAAAACACAATGACATTTTCAGGAATATTCCTTCGTTCGATTGGCAAAAGATTTTTTACCTAAAAGATCACCGAAGTAAGAGTGTTTTGTATTGAAATTTTGATGTAGCGTGAACTCTTACTACAACCTTGTTTTCTCTTTAGTTTTATATCATTTAAAAACCAAAATAATTTCAGCGAAGGATTTATTCATCTTAAAAGATAGGGGTAGCGTACCAATTAATCTGAAAAGCTATTTATTTAAAAATATATCAGTTGCAGATATACTAATATTGTCGGGAACATCTAATTAAAATTTAGTATGTATTTGTTTATTTTTGTTTCTGGATGACATCACTTTTTAAAGCCTTAAATTCTAATTTTCTATGTAAACAATTTGATTCAAAATCACACGTGTATTGGTAACGCTGATCATATAGAAACAGGAATGTGATTACATCATGGAAGGAGAAATTAGATCACACTATGGGTAAGGAGACTAGCAAAGTACAGAATAAGCCATGTACGATGTAGAACATAAAGATATTGGAAAAGATATAAACTAATTTGGACCTTAAATGTCTGTCGTCTGCCCCTCCGTGAGTAGTTTCTCGACATATGTTAATGATATTTTCATCCAACATATACCGAAGTTCCTTGATGAAAATAACGCCATTCTCATATATAATCTTAGGTTATCCGTCAATATACAGTTTTTAGCGAAACAGCCAATAATTTATGAATACTTAAACTTGCTTCATATGTATTATCACGACTGATTATTGCTTGAAACAGTTGCTATGGTAATAAAAAAGGACGCGTGGTTGAGATTGCTGTTCCGATATATCTCACCATACAAATACTACTTTCTTGCCAAATGTACTTGCTTAGCAACCCTATTATTACCGAGACATCCGAAATTTGACAAACCGAATTAAGTGGTAATGATATTTCATTATTTTATAATGATTTTCAGATATATGAGGTGAGGGCGTGGTGATCATGTTGTCTATATATGACTACACAAACACATTGTAGACAGGATATCGAATAGTATACGATCATACGGCTGGGTCCTTACTGACTGCGGTCAGTATTCTAGTTCACTCACTTTGGTTCCATTATCTATGTAGAAATTCATTAATATCTTACTAGATGTAAACAGTTTACTGCGGAATAAGCTAACAGCTTATATCACTTAAATAAGAAACACGTGTTTATACTTTGTACCTTATATATTCAAAATAAAGAAATAAAGCTTTAATTATGTACGTATTGGAATTCCTTATTGTTTAAAGGAGCCATATGCTTTTACAATTCTAATCTTCCATGTTGACTACAAAGGGAAAATCATCACTTTTAATCTTATGGAATGAAATAACTGAATGAACAAAATATTACGTAAATAAAAAATTAACATTAATTACAATAAGAGGCTTACACATGTCGTTGTTGATCAAAGCAACGGCAAGATTCAGCTAGGTTGTTTATTTGTCTGGCTTGTTTATCCCGGGGTAAAGTTTGTGACAGGATTGTCTTGTAGTTGTAGTCAGTAAATAATTGAAAAACCATGCGAGAAACCCGTTAAAAATGCCATCCAGAACAATTACAGCAACTTGAATCCCAAGGACACCACAAAGACACAACAGGGCGAACAGAATAACAGCTTTCTCAGATATTTTAATCGGTACGGGTAGGGATCGCACCACACCTCCCGAATATTTACCCGAGGTTACAGCTATCAAATGACCTGCGCTATTATGACCCTTTCCATGTATACTATAAACTTATTAACACAGTCTTCAAATGGAATTATCATTCGTGATATAAAATTGTAAAATTTCTGCCTCAGTCCATTTTCTTTCGGCATTTGGTTGTGATTAGTTTTAAGGAACAGTTGACTTTCATGAAATATAATTATATTATATTTATGGTAAACCATAATTTACCTCCTGCAATCTCTAAAGGATCTTCAAAAGCATTTAATTAGTACCTTTTCAAGAAAGCCGTTACCATGCCTACGTCGTGAACAACCAAAGCGTTATCGTAGAAAAAACATATCCATGTATGTCATATTATGTCGTTAACGAGTCAACACAAAGATGATTTAAAACAACGTGTATATAATACATGTATGTTACTATTTTAGCAAAACTAACACGTTTTAGCATTTACTTACCACGTAAATTATCAATGGGGAAACCATCCCTCCAAGTCTCGATAATGAATTCTGGAGTCCGTTTCCAATATTTCTGAAAAAAAAAATAATTCGATGCAGTTCAATATATTATTAGACATAAATTGTTATTTTTTTAAAATTTGATTTGAAATTAGATATTAACTTACAGCTGTATCACCATCACAATAACCACTCAAGGACGATCACAAAAGTATCATGAAGTAATAGCAGATAGCTAGAAGGAATACCATAATCAAAACTAACTAGAATTTTTTTCCTGAAAGCAAAAACTAGACAAGAGAGAAAACAAACCAAAAAAATCTTAACTTCACACACAAATAGTCCGAAATGTTCCAATCATCTATCCACGATTTTATTTTTGGTCGTGGTCGCAACCGGTAAACATGCACGATGATGTTAAAACAGTCTGATAGTTTTAAGACAAGACGGCAGTCAAACACTCTTCAGCCTGTTTAGCAGACTGACCCGTCAAGACCAAAACCTTGTCTCCCATACTTAATTTTATCCATTTTATAAACTCAAATAAGGTATGTCTCTCCAAGAAGGTGTTGTGCAGCCAACAATATTATTCTTCGTGAAATCAGCAGCTAAGACAAGGATATATTTTCTTTGTGTTGCATTTTATCATCCTTTAGGAGGAAATGTGTGGGCTCCTCATATGGCTCGATTTATTTGACATAATAAATCTTATTTTTTATTAATCGAATGAAAAAATGAAATATACTACATTGTAATCAACACCTTATATAGCTTGACCCTGATATTGACAATCAGATGACTTTCAGTTTTCTTGTTCGTTTGGTGGTGCATTAGTTACACGCACTCGCCTTTGACCTAGGTGTCCGGGGTTCGATTTTCCGGGCGGACGTGAAAAGGCATGTTGGTCAGTCACACTTTGGGTGCATTCACTGCAATTTTCTTATTTGTTCATAACTTGCTTTATTCTTGTTTATAACTTGGTTTATACTTGGTCGTTCATCAAACACTCATTGGAATGATAAAACGTTTCTCGTCAAGGTAAGGAATATTTTACTAAGGTCTGTTGCCCCTAGAATAGCAAAATACATAATAGAAAAAACATCCTTGTCGGGAGTTACACCTCTTGTCCCATACATATATATGGACCGTGAGTCGGGAATTCGTGTTAAATCCCTGTGTCTTAACATTACACTTCTAGATTTTAATCTGAGGAAGTTTTTTGATGGTTTTAACAAATTTGAATCATGTGACCCTGGAAAAGAGCTTAGGTAATTTCTTACAAGCTCTATCGCGCTTCAGTTCCGCTATAACCTATCAGCTAGATATCCCGTGTCTAGACGTTTTAGTTAACTAATCGTTTGAGGGTTTTAATAAATTTTATCCCTGTGGCCTAGAGAATTAGTTAAGGTTACTCTTTTTTGCTTACTTTGCTGGTATTTATTCCAGAAACCTATCAGCCAAATGCCTTTAATACCTTGACCTCTAAGTATTGAGAAAAAGTAGTGTAACAAGAGAGGTTAGCACCGAATGGATGGGTCCAACACCATGGCACAAGCTTACTTAAATCCTAAAATGATTTTTTTCTATCTTTGACCTTGAGTTAAAGGTCATTGTAATTTAATTTCAAAGTACATCCCCTTGGCTGTAGGGGGCGGTATGTATCAGCTTCATCGTGGTGTCTTTAATGTTTCAAAAGACAAAAATGGCCGAAAAAATTGCTAGGGAGTACACTGTCTGTTTATTTAATTTTTATCAAGGTATCTCTCTACCGGCTCAAACGTAATGGTCCTGACAAGAAAATGCTGCACATATTTGATCTTTGACCAGACGAACCCTTAGGGATTTAGATTTCTGTTCTTACAAATAACATTTTTACGCGGCAATATGTAGTTAACTCTGGAAATACACTTCGATACATGTACAGTTAATAAAATCCTTCTATATAAATTTGATAACCCTAAATGTTCATAAACCAATTTAAAAAAACATCGTATGAACAGCATCGAGTTCAACTGGACTCCCATAGTATACCGTAAGATTTTTTTTATGAATTATTCGCAAATATTATTACTATTATGCATCACTTAAAATCACATTTAGATGTGTGACATTATCTTCAAATTGAGACCACGATAAGCAAACATCGCGCATATACAACAGGTGTAAGTAATACCAGGACTTTCTTGCTGAAAGCTGATCACCACGCGTAAATATTGATACACTCAATGTGGTTGGTTAGCTGCTCCTAGAGACTCCACACAACTGTTAATATATGTTCTTACCTAACCACTGTAGGATATGTTTCCGCCGTGAAAACAATTAAGGATGTCCACGCCGCTCCAACACTTAATTTACAAGTCAGAGCAAATCCACTGATGACTACAGCTTTGTCTTCAACATCTGGAAAATATAAACATAATTTACCAGTCTGTCTCATAGGCTGATCGCCATCTTGAAAGAGACATGTTTATTTTGGATTAATCGATTTTCGGATAAACAATATTCTTGGGAAGCAAAGATGTTGTAGGTAAAATAAGTTTTCAACATATGCTTTGAGCCATATAAAGAAAAGAGCACAAAAGTGTATTTGTATCCCTTTTTTCGATTGGGATGCTCGTTCCCATAAAGGTAATTTACCTGTTTGCATAATCTTTTTAATAATTGCAATAGGTTAGCGAGTACTGTCTATCAAATTGCATTATTTATATATGTATATATTTACTGGTAAGTAATATTAATCCTATACCTACTGTTCCCAGAGTCATAAACCACCTACCACGTGTATCTTTGCTGTCATCAGCAGTGCCGAAAAACAGCTGTTTTAGCACAAGCATCATATTATTTTAAAGGCATAACTATCTTTTAAAAAAACGAGTTTTGGTATCGCTTTGGACAACTTATTTTGGATAAAAAAACGCAAATGCTATTATTTACGTTGGAAGGAGAGAAACTGTTTGGACGTAGGTGATCTGGCCAAGGTCAGTATATTGTCAATGTAAAGTAAACCCTGTTTAAACTCAAAATGCCGATGTTTCGCTTGTCTAAATTCTAAATATAATATAAATGTTCCTAGGTAAACAGAATACAATTTTTTTTTTTAAATAAGCTTCATTTTTTATTATAAACAGAAAAACAAAATCGACTCGCCCAAGCCTAACTGCTTTTGTCTTTCTTCGCTCTCGCCGTATTACAACTTACATCTTATGACACTGACCCTGTATTCTTCTATACATGCCATTATTTGTCCACTCTATGTTGGTTTCAAGTACAATTCTTGACACAAGGGAACTATTTATCGAGTAGGTTAATAACGGAAAATATATTAAAAATAAATTGAGAGCGTTTTATCAAAAGTTCTTTAGTGTTTGTCGTACACCATATCAATTAGACATCGTTATTCTCGTCAGATCTCACCTACAACTTCCACAACTGCTACCACAATACCGGCCACACCTCCAATCACAAAAAACAGAAGGCATGTTAGTCTCCGGCCAATACTGTTAAACAGCAAGTCCCAAAAAGCAGTGTTAATATTGATGGCAGTGTAATGTATTTGGGTCAGTTTGATTCAATATACAAGAATGTACCTTACACTTAGTGATAGCAAACAAAAAGTTTACCATTAAATGGAATGGTACAGAGTTTCTAAAACTGTGACCACATACATACTAGATATAGTGATTCATTAATCTTGAATGTCTGCACAAAACATCTAATTAAATTGCACATTTCCATACATATTTAGAGCTAGATACAATAAAACCAAATAATGAATTAATCTGCATCATACGGCTGTTTTGTCCTTCTAGGACTCGTCAGTGTTGCTACATCATACAGCTGTTTCGTACTTCTAGGACTCGTCAGTGTTGCTACATCATAAAGCTGTTTCGTCCTTCTAGGACTCGTCAGTGTTGCTACATCATACAGCTGTTTCGTCCTTCTAGGACTCGACAGTGTCGCTACATCATACGGCTGTTTCGTACTTCTAGGACTCGTCAGTGTTGCTACATCATAAAGCTGTTTCGTCCTTCTAGGACTCGTCAGTGTTGCTACATCATACAGCTGTTTCGTCCTTCTAGGACTCGACAGTGTCGCTACATCATACGGCTGTTTTGTCCTTCTAGGACTCGTCAGTGTTGCTACATCATAAAGCTGTTTCGTCCTTCTAGGACTCGACAGTGTCGCTACATCATACAGCTGTTTCGTCCTTCTAGGACTCGTCAGTGTTGCTACATCATACAGCTGTTTCGTACTTCTAGGACTCGACAGTGTTGCTACATCATACAGCTGTTTTGTCCTTCTAGGACTCGTCAGTGTTGCTACATCATAAAGCTGTTTCGTCCTTCTAGGACTCGTCAGTGTTGCTACATCATACAGCTGTTTAGTACTTCTAGGACTCGACAGTGTCGCTACATCATATAGCTGTTTCGTCCTTCTAGGACTCGTCAGTGTCGCTACATCATACAGATGTTTCGTCCTTCTAGGACTCGACAGTGTCGCTATGGGCCGCAACTAGAGAAACCTAGATAGCAACTGCTGATACTTTTTGAATATTTTTTAGTGAGTTTCAGACTTGATTTTAATTGTTACTGTCGTGGTATGAAATGTATGGCGATAAATATATTAAATTCGTTCCATCTTAAATGCATACGTTCTATAACACATACTTTGAGCGACTAGTTTCCTCACAGATTAATTAAAAACGATAAGCTTAAGATTCCGCTTAACTCACCAGTTCGCCATGTAGTACGTGATTAACTGTGCAGGAACGTCGATAATATTGATGAGGAATATATTGATGTAGATATTACCGGAAAGGTTCTGGACACCAAAGGAAATGGCGTAATACACGTACGACGCCGTTACCCTGGCAACAAAAAAAGAAACGGCGTAATACACAAACGTCACTCTCACCAAGGCAACAGAAAGGAAATTACTTCACACAAACACGACACTGCCGTTTATGATTACAAAAATGAAAATACCGAAATACTCATAGGATCATGTTACCATAGCAACAAAGAATATTTGTAAACGTTAGAAAATCTATGTTAATTCCAACTTTGTCACTTCAAAGAAAAATGTTACCAATTTATTTCGAAAAACGGAATATTATTAATTATCTTACCATCCAACTCCCAGTAACATACTCCTCGACAGCAGTATTCTGGAGCATAATATATCTCGTAAATTATATGCGTGTTTTGAATGCCTGATGGACATGTCATTTTCTACAATATCTGACAACATTGTAAAATCAGGAACACTTTTCTTGTTTGTCTTTGCTATCTTGTTTACGACTTTCATTGCATCACCCTGTTTCCCATGCGTTACCAACCATCGAAAACTTTCTGGAAAGTACCTGGACATTATCAAAATAAACACAAAATTAATTATTAATCCTTCTGTCAGTTCCCAAACTCTGACAAGTAACATTTAATTAGCTTAAATCTACACAAAACACATCAACGTTGAAAGAACGGTGTAGTTATGTCCATCTTGAAATACATATACATGAAATCATTGCGGCAGGAAGCGTTTATTTTTGCGATTGAAAATAATACCTTGATGAAGTGATATCGTGAAATAAAACTTTATATTAAAAGGTTTAATGACGTCAATTGGGAGTATAAGACCTAAACTTGTACAAAGTTCCCTTGGACTAACGAAAACTGAATTGTTTTATTTGAGAATCTTAAATGAGTTAGGTGGTTTGGTATGATACCAGCCTTCAGAAAATGGCATTATTCAAGTTCTAAGTGAATAAATTCAATATGGAAACTAATGTATTGATCTCATCTATCTGATAACTTAAATTAAGTGATATTCTCAAAATCAATTCCACGTTTTTTTTTCATATCTTAGACAATTTTTTCACGTCTTTCGGTAAAGGTACAAGTGTGTTATGACATGTGTGTCTTTCTATAGTTCAGATCAGGTCGGACAGCTCAGTTGTGAGATAAAATCTCATTCATTTGAAGTTTAAGATAATGATATTTACATAATTTATAACGTATTTCAGAAATCTACAATGTTCAAACATTAGGAATCTACTGACTGTAAAAAGAAAATTTTCAGTTGGTTGAAATTTCGTGGTTTTCAAAAGTTGAAATACGTTAGTTTATGAGTACTTATTTTCGTGGATGAAGAGCTCTAAAACAAAATACTAAATTACAATATAAGAGTGAGTTGATTAATTGATTAACTATATAAATTGGTGGGTTAACAGTGCCCACGAAATCAGCATAAATATTTTCTGTCGTAAATTAACTATTCTATAGTACTTCAGTGAAGATGTTAACAAAGAGTCACTCACCACCAAGCCAACAGCCATGGAAAAGAGGCGACAGCGGTTGCTAGGTGCAAGTATTTCCAATTATGCAGCCACATGCAAAAGAAGGCAAACAGGCCACACCATACTGCCCATATAGGGAACGTCGTTGTTATTGCTCTATATTGAGCAGGTGTGAACTCAATCAGGTAGGTGTAGAATACTGCTATATAGCACCCAACGGCGAAACCAATGAAAAATCGGAGCACGGCGAACATCTGCCAGGACACGGAATATGCCGCTATTGCATTAGTTATCACAAGGGTCAACAAAGATAAGAAGTAAATTGGTTTTCTTCCATAAGCATCCGCGAAATGTCCAGAAAAGAATCCGCTAACAAAAAGTCCCGCCATTTGAATTGTTGTGATAGTTGATGTTATCAGCTCCCGATCACAAACAAGATCCCACTTTGAAACAAGAAACAAAAACGTGACGAATTCTCCAGAACTAAATAAAATTATCCTGAAGGGAAATACGGACTTCTAAATATATTGGAAAGGAGTACTATTGAAAACATATTTTTGCACTTGATGGGGGTTAAGTTGGGTGGGAATGGGTTATAACTTTCACGTGATATGAAATTATATGCCCCACCCCACGACGATAAAATAAGCGTAAAATATTGCCTACAATCCGTGGAAAAACGATATAGTTAAAAGCTAACTTATAGCCTTTTGTAAATAAATGTACTCGATAGTTTAGAAGATCCTGCGTTCAGAAGTACAGAATAACACCGAACACTCCAACACACAGTTTACCGTTTTTCAATCATGTTATGTTTTATTTTGTCAGTAGAACCGTAAACCCAAAATCTTGAATTTCATTAGCGGTATCGCCATTGCTATTTCCAAAGAACCCGTTATAAGCAAAGCGATTTTTGTGCTAGATATCACGTCAACTGACAGACAAACTGAAAACATTTGGTTTCATTAGATAATAGTTGATAAAAAATATGGGAAGGTTTCATGCTGTCAAAGTCATCTCATTGAAAAATACTCTATTTCTTTGCGTGATATGAAGCTGGGCGTGTTTGACTCTCTTTAGGTTTACGTGGCGGGTGTCGTCGATGAAGCAGAAGACGCTTACCCTTCCGGAACACCTGGTCTTATTCTCCTTGTACTTCTTCAAGAGTCTCCGTATTGGTATCTTCTATTAGTTTTCATTGAAATAAGAGGGGGAAAATATGTGTTAACATATTGAAAAGTTTCTAAACTCACCTCATTAACGATATCGTACAGGTTGTTTGTAAACCTATGTCGAATACAGGAGGACGAGGATGTATTGGCTGGCGGTGAACACTCCTGGAAAGAGGAGTTTGTCAAGGGAATCTCCGTCACGGTGCTGTCAGTTCTATTTATAGTGTAATCGCACCACCAATCAGGTATAACGCCTGCGTATGACATCATCATCATGCTCCAGGCAACCGGAAGTTTACTACCCATGACGACCGTGTACATAACAAACTGGAACCTTCCGAACCCACCACATTCCTGTAGTTTACTCTCAAGATATTCGCTGATTGATTGCATCCTAGTTTTTCTTCGAATAGTGGCTGCTGAAATTGTTAAAAATTTTACAAATCAGTGACTGTTAACGCTGTTTAAATCCCCTAGAAACAGACCCGATCGGTCGATTTAACAAACAGTAAATGTTGACAGTTTCAGCTGGACCAAATCAATCTGTACATGAATGCCACGGTAGCATTGTCATAATCAGTTAATAACGCTAAAACGTGCAAATGTCTTTCTGCTAAGAGTCAGGACGATGAGCTGAATGACGAGAATGGTTTGTTTACTCGCCAAAGGCTAAGATGCCAAAATTTTAGAGTTGTTTGTTTATTTGAATAAGAAGACATGTTCCCTTAAGAGGAAGTTTGGCAAAAATAGCTGAAATCAAATTTTGCCAAAGAACATTATATGGTGTTAAACTACATTCTTGCCTCTAGGCATTAAAATGTGTTCTTCGTGGGATCATCTGTTTCACCTACCAAGCAGTAAAACGGAATTAGAAAATGGCGTTAGGGCTGTTATACTATCACTGACACATTTTACTTAAGCCTACACCCCTGGTTGGTTTCTGTCATCAACAGTGATTCATTTAAAGAGTCACTTAAATATTAACTAAAACAACAAGATATTGTTCTGCAAGGTCACTTATGTTATAATGAGAACGTCACAAGTTTGTTCCCAGGCACAGCTGAATCTTTACCTATCAAACGAGAATACTATATGTAATTTGGTTTCTATACCTTGTATTAGGGAGATGTAAATACATGTAAATATGTTTTGTTTAAAACAACAGTTAAACTTCGTGTCCGAAACTTACTACAGATGTGCTGCTGTCATTATGTTGTAATTTTGTTAAAATACACACACAATTCAAAAATGCAATATTGATTGTGCGTATGCAAAACATGTAAATGCTATTGTAAAAGCATTACTGCGTACGCTGATATGATTAAAATGACTGAAGTTGAATTTCATACAAACCTGACAAATTTAGTTAGAAAACACTTTCCACGCCACGCCTCTGATGTACCAACCATGATAGTAGTATACACTATATATAGGTATGTAATCGATTGTACCGTGATAAACCACAGCTTCCGATAACGTTATATATAGTATGTACTGTCGTGTATTAGTAAACAGACGGCGGTACAAAACTAGCACGCGCTATCATCTAGATCAGATTAAGAATAGGAAAACAAATAAGTAAATACTGTGGAATCGACACTATTTCGTTGTCAACTGATTTTACACAGTGCTCAAGTAATCTCCAGGTACTGATGTAAACAGTTGATTTGTAGACATGTTAATTCGTGGATTTGAGTGCCTACAAAATTGACGAACTTACAACAGCACCTTTCTATAATATTCAGAACTATATAAAGGAATACACTGTAACATACAGCTGTTTCTCCCTCGTGGATGCGTTAAGTTTCTTCTCAGTCGATAATGTGACTTAACCTTTATAGGAGCGGAAGACACTTGCACTTCCGGAACACCTGATCTTATTCTTGTACTTTTTCAGGAGTCTCCGTGTAAATCTTACTCTTGTTCATATACTGTTCTAGTTCAGTTGATTTGTAGTTTCGATATACGCATTTCGTATGTCTGCTATGAAACGGCTTCATAATAAGTATTTGTATAGTCTATATATGAGTTTGGTATATTAGATTAGATATCTCTGACGGTTACGTCGCGGAAATGATTATGCAAATATTTAAGAACTTCGTGGTTAGGAAAGTAGACATAAAGACAAATTAAACATGTACTGGGTAGATTATTTCTGTTTCACTGGTCATTTCAAGTGCCGGACACGTGTAAGTGACGGGAAACATCCTTGTTTACTCAATTTATGTCGCACGAGGGGCTGACTGTGGTGTATCCCTTGTAGATCGGAAGTTAATTCTCTGATACCTTCTGTTAGGGGGACGTCGTGGTATCCAGGAAAAGGGTCTACACCTTAAGCGGAGACTGAAATCAGGGTCTTGCAGAATCGGAGGTTGTCTTCCATCCTCTTCTAACTGAATGTTGAAAACGAGGTCAAATTTCCAAGCGATGCCCGATACTCCGATCAGGAGACGACTTTTGCTGGTGTTGTCCACGTTTGCAAAAATATGTACAGATAAACAAGATCATCTTTCAGTAACATCCAAAACTTTACCAAATTAATAGACTATGGGCTGAATAACTTTCCCTCTAAAGCTTGATTTTTCCCTCTTTCTGTTTTAGGATTCACCTAATTTGGTCACTAGCATCACAGAATAGTACTGTAAGGTGCAATGCTATCTTCAGTATTGTGCAACTCTTAAACTGCAGTGGTAGCATAATGGGCCACCATCCAACAGGTGTCTCTGAATACAGAAGGGGATACACGGCCGCTATCTGGGGTACATGGTCGGCTGTCGGGGTAGGTGGCCATCTGTCGGGGTACACGACCGCTATCTGGGCTACACGGTCGGCTGTCGGGGTAGGTGGCCATCTGTCGGGGTACATGGTCGGCTGTCGGGGTACACGGTCCACTGTTGGAGTAGGTGGCCGGCTGTCGGGGTACAAGGTCGGCTGTCGGGGTTTGGGTACACGGTCGGCTGTCGGGGTAGGTGGCCGTCTGTCGGGGTACACGGTCGGCTGTCGGGGTCGGGGTACACGGTCGGCTGTCTGGGTAGGTGGCCGGCTGTCGGGGTACACGGTCGGCTGTCGGGGTTTGGGTACACGGTCGGCTGTCTGGGTAGATGGCCGTCTGTTGGGGTACACGGTCGGCTGTCTGGGTAGATGGCCGGCTGTCGGGTTACACGGTCGGCTGTCGGGGTCGGGGTACACGGTCGGCTGTCTGGGAAAGTGGCCGGCTGTCGGGGTACACGGTCGGCTGTCGGGGTTTGGGTACACGGTCGGCTGTCTGGGTAGATGGCCGTCTGTCGGGGTACACGGTCGGCTGTCTGGGTAGGTGGCCGGCTGTCGGGTTACACGGTCGGCTGTCGGGGTCGGGGTACACGGTCGGCTGTCAGGGTAGGTGGCCGTCTGTCGGGGTACACGGTCGGCTGTCGGGGTACGCGGCCGACTGTCGACACTTGATGTCGAAGCTATGTTACTCACTTCTGCTGCCTGAAATGGTGTATAATATGACCTGTGTAGGGTATTACAGTTCCTGTGTGTACCCATATCGCTGACACTCCAGTGACCTGGAATGGTGTATAATATGATCTGTGTAGGTATTACAGTTCCTGTGTGTACCCATATCGCTGACACTCCAGTGACCTGGAATGGTATATAATATGACCTGTGTTGGGTATTACAGTTCCTGTGTGTACCCATATCGCTGACACTCCAGTGACCTGGAATGGTATATAATATGACCTGTGTTGGGTATAACAGTTCCTGTGTGTACCCATATCGCTGACACTCCAGTGACCTGGAATGGTATATAATATGACCTGTGTTGGGTATAACAGTTCCTGTGTGTACCCATATCGCTGACACTCCAGTGACCTGGAATGGTATATAATATGACCTGTGTTGGGTATAACAGTTCCTGTGTGTACCCATATCGCTGACACTCCAATGACCTGGAATGGTATATAATATGACCTGTGTTGGGTATAACAGTTCCTGTGTGTACCCATATCGCTGACACTCCAATGACCTGGAATGGTATATAATATGACCTGTGTTGGGTATAACAGTTCCTGTGTGTACCCATATCGCTGACACTCCAATGACCTGGAATGGTATATAATATGACCTGTGTTGGGTATAACAGTTCCTGTGTGTACCCATATCGCTGACACTCCAATGACCTGGAATGGTGTATAATATGACCTGTGTTGGGTATAACAGTTCCTGTGTGTACCCATATCGCTGACACTCCAATGACCTGGAATGGTATATAATATGACCTGTGTTGGGTATAACAGTTCCTGTGTGTACCCATATCGCTGACACTCCAGTGACCTGGAATGGTGTATAATATGACCTGTGTTGGGTATTACAGTTCCTGTGTGTACCCATATCGCTGACACTCCAGTGACCTGGAATGGTGTATAATATGACCTGTGTTGGGTATTACAGTTCCTGTGTGTACCCATATCGCTGACACTCCAATGACCTGGAATGGTGTATAATATGATCTGTGTTGGGTATAACAGTTCCTGTGTGTACCCATATCGCTGACACTCCAGTGACCTGGAATGGTATATAATATGACCTGTGTTGGGTATAACAGTTCCTGTGTGTACCCATATCGCTGACACTCCAGTGACCTGGAATGGTATATAATATGACCTGTGTTGGGTATTACAGTTCCTGTGTGTACCCATATCGCTGACACTCCAGTGACCTGGAATGGTGTATAATATGATCTGTGTAGGGTATTACAGTTCCTGTGTGTACCCATATCGCTGACACTCCAATGACCTGGAATGGTGTATAATATGACCTGTGTTGGGTATTACAGTTCCTGTGTGTGTACCCATATCGCTGACACTCCAGTGACCTGGAATGGTGTATAATATGACCTGGAATATAATATGGTTTTGGTCGGATTTATCACTTCTTTTCTGTGCTGTGTTTAAAACATACACGGCACTATGAAAGATTTGGATGGAAGCACAGTCCATGAGCAAACAGAACACACAAACAAATGTGCCTAGCACACTGGTAAGCTTGCAAACATATGGAGAATAGTGAGCTTGTTGAAGGTGTCTCTTTAACAGGAAGATCCCGCTCTTAAACACAGAAAAAAAACTTCTTACTCTCAGGCGGTGTAATATATTCTTTCTCTCTAATAAAAAATATAATAAGGAGGTTCTTATGACATCACAAAGAGTCCAATACATACAATATAGATATAAAAAAGCAACTGCCAATATGATTTTATCAACAATATTCAAGTTTTATTTTCCTGTAACATACTCTAAAACCTCAGCAATCTGGTCACTTTTGTTTTATTCGCTGTATCAGTACAGATTCTAATGGATTCAGCATCCGTTTAGATTCAGATGTTGCTGATTGAACTTTAACCTTTGAATGTGCCACGTCTCTTTCATTGTCAGGCACCCCTAATCTTGTTAAAAGTCTTGAGGAGAATGCAGGAATCACTGGTTGTATTAAAATTCCACAAACTCGTAGTGTCTCCATGGCGATGTAAATCACTGTTTCTAAATGCTCCTTCTCACTTTCAGTTTTCACTAAAATCCAAGGTTTATGATCATCGATCAGTTTATTTAGCCAGAAAAGATAGGTCATCAGTGTCTGTAATACTAGGTACACATTGCCATCTTCATAGAATCTATCCACTCGATCTGAAAAATCAACAAATAAAAACCACATCAGAAAATGTATACTGTAAAATCACTCATTTTTGTGGGAGTATTATTTTGTAGGTACTCTAAACTCACAAATTGTTTAAATTAGTACAACTGGATTCATTGACCTATCTTTCCATGAAAAGATTTTTTTTTTTTTTTAAACGTGAAAATTGAGTGACACAAAAATATAAAATTTTACAGTATCAGTTTTTAACAAGTATCAAACTAGTCTGTCTCTCACTATTTCAACACCTCAGCTAGAGATCAAACCTACAACCCCTGGTTTTCTAGTCTACATCTCAACCATCAAGCTAAAGAGAAGCGTGGTATATTGCAAGTAGTATTTGACCTATCCACAATTTATGAAGCATATTCTTTATTGTTGTGTGCTTGAAACAACTCACTTCCATTTACATAGGGAATTTTGTAACTAAATTTAGTTTAACTTTGGTTGTTTGTATTTTACCCTAATTGCTCTGGATGGCATGCAATGGGCCTCCAGTAGGTTTTTCTGCTACATAGCAACCAGCTACTACAAAATGAACCTACATTTTCATCAGGTATCAAACCCATCAAGAGACCTAGCAGCCTTGATGGTCATCTGAGATAAGCAATATTGAATATAAAGGTTAAAGGATAGTTATCAAATGTCAGGAAACAGAAATTGTGACATTGAATATAGTAAGGCAGTGTCAATACATGCATTCCATCAAAACTGTCATCCTATACTGATAATTCTTAAAGTTATTTCCAGTGGGAAATAACCAACATTATGCTCAAAAATACTAATTTCCTATGAAATTTACAGGAAAGAGTATTTGTTTCTACCATACGTGGGTCTTGAGAAGAAGATTTTTGAAATTTAAGTCCATTTGGCCCCTTTTGGCCTCACCCATCAGCCCCTGGGGGGCAGGGACTGTATAATTTCACAATTTTGGTTCATCTTAGGCCAAGGAATGTTTCTGCAAAATTTCATTGAAATTGGATCTGGGGTTTTTGATAAGAAGTTGAAAGTGTTAAATTGTTTACGGACGCACAATGCACAACACCGGATGGATGGTATTAGAATAGGTAACCATGAGACTATGTCTCAGATGACCTAACAGGCAGTTTGAACCATAACAGACCTGCTAGTCCATAAAGCTCCTCTAAAGTGTGACGATCCTCGTCTGTGAAGCGAGTCAACAAGGCATCTGTTGATGGATTGGTGAAGAGTTGTTCTGGATTGAGAGATTTACTAGTAATCCTGTTCAAAGCATTTCCTATAGTGTTCACCAACTCACTATTGATTACCTTGACAATCTTCCCCTCATTAAAATCTGCGAAAGAAACATTTTCATATTCTTCAATATCACCATATGTAGAATAAAAAATAAAGGAAGCATTTTTTTCCCAAAAACTTCATATGTATACAATGTACCTACTGTAATGAAATTCACAGTAACTGTACCATAATTCTTTGTGTACAGAATCTAATCTTGATGTTTTTCAACACAATACTATTTCAGCACTTTCGTTGATGAAAAGTACTCAAAAAATTCATAAAAGATAAATATTAAAATTTAAAGGGATTTATCAATTTGTGAAATTTGTGTAAAAACTGAAAATAGTTTATGGACAATCATACCTAAACATTAGAGAGTCTTTCTGTGCCAAGACATTGTATGTTATATTGGTGTATCTTTTTATATGTAGGTGGGTGATATCACCAGGCATGGGCATGAATGTGGGTGGGTGATAATACCATGCATAAACTTGGTAGGTGAATGACAATAACAAGCATGGACTATGAGGTGAGTGACAATAACAAGCATGGACTATGAGGTGGGTGAGTGACAATAACAACCATGGACTATGAGGTGGGTGAGTGACAATAACAAGCATGGACTATGAGGTGGGTGAGTGACAATAACAAGCATGGACTATGAGGTGGGTGAGTGACAATAACAAGCATGGACTATGAGGTGGGTGAGTGACAATAACAAGCATGGACTATGAGGTGGGTGAGTGACAATAACAAGCATGGACTATGAGGTGGGTGAGTGACAATAACAAGCATGGACTATGAGGTGGGTGAGTGACAATAACAAGCATGGACTATGAGGTGGGTGAGTGACAATAACAAGCATGGACTATGAGGTGAGTGACAATAACAAGCATGGACTATGAGGTGGGTGAGTGACAATAACAAGCATGGACTATGAGGTGGGTGAGTGACAATAACAAGCATGGACTATGAGGTGGGTGAGTGACAATAACAAGCATGGACTATGAGGTGGGTGAGTGACAATAACAAGCATGGACTATGAGGTGGGTGAGTGACAATAACAAGCATGGACTATGAGGTGGGTGAGTGACAATAACAAGCATGGACTATGAGGTGGGTGAGTGACAATAACAAGCATGGACTATGAGGTGGGTGAGTGACAATAACAAGCATGGACTATGAGGTGGGTGAGTGACAATAACAAGCATGGACTATGAGGTGGGTGAGTGACAATAACAAGCATGGACTATGAGGTGGGTGAGTGACAATAACAAGCATGGACTATGAGGTGGTGAGTGACAATAACAAGCATGGACTATGAGGTGGGTGAGTGACAATAACAAGCATGGACTATGAGGTGGGTGAGTGACAATAACAAGCATGGACTATGAGGTGGGTGAGTGACAATAACAAGCATGGACTATGAGGTGGGTGAGTGACAATAACAAGCATGGACTATGAGGTGGGTGAGTGACAATAACAAGCATGGACTATGAGGTGGGTGAGTGACAATAACAAGCATGGACTATGAGGTGGGTGAGTGACAATAACAAGCATGGACTATGAGGTGAGTGACAATAACAAGCGCGGACTATGAGGTGGGTGAGTGACAATAACAAGCATGGACTATGAGGTGGGTGAGTGACAATAACAAGCATGGACTATGAGGTGGGTGAGTGACAATAACAAGCATGGACTATGAGGTGGGTGAGTGACAATAACAAGCATGGACTATGAGGTGGGTGAGTGACAATAACAAGCATGGACTATGAGGTGGGTGAGTGACAATAACAAGCATGGACTATGAGGTGGGTGAGTGACAATAACAAGCATGGACTATGAGGTGGGTGAGTGACAATAACAAGCATGGACTATGAGGTGGGTGAGTGACAATAACAAGCATGGACTATGAGGTGGGTGAGTGACAATAACAAGCATGGACTATGAGGTGGGTGAGTGACAATAACAAGCATGGACTATGAGGTGGGTGAGTGACAATAACAAGCATGGACTATGAGGTGGGTGAGTGACAATAACAAGCATGGACTATGAGGTGGGTGAGTGACAATAACAAGCATGGACTATGAGGTGGGTGAGGGACAATAACAAGCATGGACTATGAGGTGGGTGAGTGACAATAACAAGCGCGGACTATGAGGTGGGTGAGTGACAATAACAAGCATGGACTATGAGGTGAGTGACATGAGGTGGGTGAGTGACAATAACAAGCATGGGCTATGAGGTGGGTGAGTGACAATAACAAGCATGGACTATGAGGTGGGTGAGTGACAATAACAAGCATGGACTATGAGGTGGGTGAGTGACAATAACAAGCATGGACTATGAGGTGGGTGAGTGACAATAACAAGCATGGACTATGAGGTGGGTGAGTGACAATAACAAGCATGGACTATGAGGTGGGTGAGTGACAATAACAAGCATGGACTATGAGGTCTGTGAGTGACAATAACAAGCATGGACTATGAGGTGGGTGAGTGACAATAACAAGCATGGACTATGAGGTGGGTGAGTGACAATAACAAGCATGGACTATGAGGTGGGTGAGTGACAATAACAAGCATGGACTATGAGGTGGGTGAGTGACAATAACAAGCATGGACTATGAGGTGGGTGAGTGACAATAACAAGCATGGACTATGAGGTGGGTGAGTGACAATAACAAGCATGGACTATGAGGTGGGTGAGTGACAATAACAAGCATGGACTATGAGGTGGGTGAGTGACAATAACAAGCAAGGACTATGAGGTGGGTGAGTGACAATAACAAGCATGGACTATGAGGTGGGTGAGTGACAATAACAAGCATGGACTATGAGGTGGGTGAGTGACAATAACAAGCATGGACTATGAGGTGGGTGAGTGACAATAACAAGCATGGACTATGAGGTGGGTGAGTGACAATAACAAGCATGGACTATGAGGTGGGTGAGTGACAATAACAAGCATGGACTATGAGGTGAGTGACAATAACAAGCGCGGACTATGAGGTGGGTGAGTGACAATAACAAGCATGGACTATGAAGTGGGTGAGTGACAATAACAAGCATGGACTATGAGGTGGGTGAGTGACAATAACAAGCATGGACTATGAGGTGGGTGAGTGACAATAACAAGCATGGACTATGAGGTGGGTGAGTGATAATAACAAGCATGGACTATGATGCATCAGGCTGTGAATTTTTTATCATATGAAAATTACCAGCATCTTTCTGAGGAGTAGCCTGCCTTAGTAAGAAATAACGGACTCCATCCACAGTGTATTTGGACATACACTCCAGGGGATCCACTACATTACCCAGACTCTTTGACATCTGAAAATATAGATATAAGTGTAGAACTAAAATACAACTTAACCTGTGATGTATGGGATGATGAAGTAATGACAGATGACTGGACTATTTTCCTACACAATCAGATACATGTATTTAACATTCTGTGAATCTGTAACTGCAGCCATCTTGTTTTTCTTCTACCGAGACAAAAAATCAAACTAACCAAACTTTATTTGTGCAATGATAGAAATATTTTGCCTTATTAGAGTTCATTAAAATGTACTAAATAATGCAAGGGCTGTGGCCTTAAACTTTTTCATAAATGAAATGACTAATTTGCTTTGTCTTGATCCTTGAAAATTTATTTAAGATGGACCAGTATACAGCATAAAACACAGGTTAATACACTGCAGATGACTTGTTTCAACTTTGCCCTGTGAAAATAGAATTTGAAATTGGGTGAGCTCCGGATTATCAGCTTCATTTAATGTTAATATAGCGACTGATTGTAATTAAGAATCTCAGGTGTTTGTAACCTACAACATCAATAGTAACTAACATGGTTAGGAACTCTTTCAAAATGAAGGCAATTTTAGACATGTCACTGGGGCACCTATGTTAACAGTAAACATGGCTGCAAATTTCAAACTAATGGCTTTTGCTGACCAATAATCTCAGCATAATCATATCTTCTACATATGTGTATGATTTTTACTGGAAAGTCTGTATAAATATAGATTAAATTAGGTGCTGCTTCATGAACAAAGTATCAAGCATTACAAAAAAAGTGACAAACATCTGATGACACAACTCCGTCTGAAATACTTTTTTTCTATTCCGCTTCACCATTTCACTACGTTGAGATACTTTCATTATGAGAATATCTAGAAAGGCTGAAAATTAATTTTTCTGGTTCAAATACACATTCCACTGTTACTTTATGTGCCCAAAATCTTGAAATATATTGATTGAGAGTTATCTCTTTTTAACTCAAGTGCACAACATTCAAAGAAGGGATGAACTCCTGTGCAATCATGCTAACACTGATACCTTCATTCCGTCCACCCTCCAATGGGAATGACAAAGGATTTTCTTTGGCAAGGAAAGACCAGCTGCTAGCAGAAAGGCTGGCCAATAAACTGCATGGAACCTGTCAACAAATTAACACTTAACTTTCCTGAGAATAATTACAGAATTTTTCTCAAATCATGTTACAGGTTTGCTGATTGTGAAATACTGGCATTATGTCAGAAGTTTTTTATCAGCTGTTGATCTAGACCCATTTACAATACATACTTAGAGAGTAAGGAGATCATATTGTCTGTGGTAACTTCAGTACTTATGCCCTTAGCTTTCTTTAAGGGCTGACAGAGAAGAATCATGAGGAAAATGTCTGTTAGAAATTAATAGCATTGTGACCTGACTCCCATACAAGAAAAGTTTGATAAATTTGCATAAATTGTCAAATTTTACCTTTGACCTTGACCAATAACCACCTCAATATGATAAGGTGTTGAATTTGATGTTATGGTATAACATGGTAGATATAAAACTAATAAGGTTCTCAATTAGCAGAGAACATGTTGTGATACAATTAGAAGGGATAAATGGACTCAGTATACGCCTGCTCTATAAAATGACTTGGGCAGAACAAGTTGTCCTCGGCGAATAAACTAGAATCTTTGGTACCAAAACAATGTGTCTTTTAATAATGCCTTGGGATCAATATAAAATTTTGGTTCAAAGTCATTAGGTTGGGTTTAATGCAAGACCATAAAAAAGTAAGTTTTGATAACAGAACAGCAATAGATATGGGTATCAACAGACATGATATGGGTATTAACAGACATAATATGGGTATCAACAGACATGATATGGGTATAAACAGATATGATATGGGTATTAAGACATGATATGGGTATTAACAGATATGATATGGGTATTAAGACATGATATGGGTATCAACAGACATGATATGGGTATTAACAGATATGATATGGGTATTAAGACATGATATGGGTATCAATCGATATGATATGGGTATTAACAGACATGATATGGGTATTAACAGACATGATATGGGTATCAACAGACATGATATGGGTATTAACAGACATGATATGGGTATCAACAGACATGATATGGGTATTAACAGACATGATATGGGTATTAACAGATATGATATGGGTATTAAGACATGATATGGGTATTAAGACATGATATGGGTATTAAGACATGATATGGGTATCAATCGATATGATATGGGTATTAACAGACATGATATGGGTATTAACAGACATGATATGGGTATTAAAAGACATGATATGGGTATTAACAGACATGGGCATTTGTTTTTGGAAAGTATAGCATAGGACTTACAATTGTCTCCTATCAGAATCAAAGAGAAATCGCAACAAGCCAATGATATGTGTTTTTTCTTATTTATTGGTATGTCAACTGGTTTTGCCCTAACTTTTGGGCTTTTAAGGGTCCTGATGAAGCCCAAAAGTTCTGGCGAAACTGGTCGACATACCAATTAATAAGAAGAAACACATATCCTGGGCTGCGATTTCTCTTCAATTCTTAGTTTGTCCCTGTACTCTAATCGCCCAGCATACCAGAAGGTATCCAAGCAAGAGATACAAGGAACTACTTGAACTCTTCCTAAAAGTACGGTGTTGGTTCTGTCCTAGTATCTCTATCGTCAAAATCTGGTTACATTGATAGATACTGATCTACACTGATATAGGAGTAGTTTGCTTACTTGAGAATATCTTTGCCAACCACATGACAATCTGCAGGCCAAACACTGCAATATTCGTCTCCAGGGTAACCAGTTACTGTGAGGTAATTTGTGAGGGCATCCAACCATACATAGATCTGTACCAAAACACAACCAGTCAAACATTAATGTAAATTATTGTAATATCAGAACTACATATACCTTATACAACTTACCAAATACTCCATTTGATTAAAATAACACAAAAATCATGCACGTAATAAAAGTACAGCCAAACCTGTCTTTGAGGCCAGTTTTATATAAAGGCATTCTATCTATACAGGCCACAACGTCAGTTCTCTGTGTATTGAAATTCATTGTAACTAAAACTCTACATAAAGTCCACCTTTGTACAACACCCACTCTGCTCCCTATCTTTTCAGTGATATAAGTGTCTTCTGAAATATCTTTATTTATCAAGTTAAACCCATATAAAATAAATGCATCTTGGTTTCATTAGCAAAGTGGTTTGGCAACCTGCAGGTGTGTTCAAATAATGATTTTAAGCTTATGTCATGGCACAGTGTTGGTTGCCCCATCCTTAATCCAGTATACTCCAACTTGTTACTACTTTTCATGAACAAATGAACAGATTTTGACCAAATTTGGTCAAAAGCATCCTTGGTAGAATGAAAAAAAAAGATTTGTAAAAATATTGGTTCTTGAAAGAGAAAAAGAAAATGAGGAAATTCTTTGAAATCTTGTGCAGAAATATCGGGATCCCGATTCAATCATAAGCATACTCTGGTGAAGGGAATTAATTTTGTATAAATGCTGGATCTCAGCCCTCTGGGAGGCGCGATGCAAAATAGTGGAAATAGAGAAAATTCTCTAAAATCCTTTCTTTATGAGAATACATTGATTCTGTTCGATTTGGTCTGAAGCATACCTATAATTGAATGAAACCTAATTCTGTATCAATCAGTCTGACATCAGAGATGTGGGGCTCAATAGGGAAAATGTTCTCATATAGAGCCTCCTTCCAGACAAGTTTTTTTTATTTCTTTTATAATTTTTTAAATATTTTGACAAAATTTGACAATTCACTTGCACGCCAGACAACACCACACTCAAACACATACAGAGTACATACACACACATTCACATACAGAGTACACACACACACACATACACAGACACACAACAATATCTAAGGGTCTGATATCATCGTCACTCTACAGTACATTCTTCATTTCACTATCATCATCATGAACATCATCATCATCACCCTCCAACATCATCATCATCTTAAAATATCATCATCACCCTCCAACATCATCATCATCTTAAAATATCATCATCACCCTCCAACATCATCATCATCTTAAAATATCATCATCACCCTCCAACATCATCATCATCTTAAAATATCATCATCACCCTCCAACATCATCATCATCTTAAAATATCATCATCACCCTCCAACATCATCATCATCTTAAAATATCATCATCACCCTCCAACATCATCATCATCTTAAAATATCATCATCACCCTCCAACATCATCATCATCTTAAAATATCATCATCACCCTCCAACATCATCATCATCATCATCATCATCATCATCATCATCATCACCCTCCAACATCATCATCATCTTAAAATATCATCATCACCCTCCAACATCATCATCATCATCATCATCATCATCATCACCCTCCAACATCATCATCATCTTAAAATATCATCATCACCCTCCAACATCATCATCATCTTAAAATATCATCATCACCCTCCAACATCATCATCATCATCTTAAAATATCATCATCATCCTCCAACATCATCATCATCATCATCATCATCATCATCATCATCCAACATCATCATCATCATCATCATCATCCAACATCATCATCATCTTAAAATATCATCATCACCCTCCAACATCATCATCATCATCTTAAAATATCATCATCATCCTCCAACATCATGTTATCATCATCATCATCATCATCATCATCATCATCATCATCATCATCATCATCATCATCATCATCATCCTGATTATTGTATTTCATCATCCCATGCGGGATATAGTCAAACTTTATATATAAATGTAGCTATTGATGTTATAAACATACTGTATTATAGGTACAGATATGATGAATACACTCAAACTTTATATATAAATGTAGCTATTGATGTTATAAACATACTACATTATAGGTACAGATGTGATGAATACACTCAAACTTTATATATAAATGTAGCTATTGATGTTATAAACATACTACATTATAGGTACAGATGTGATGAATACACTCAAACTTTATATATAAATGTAGCTATTGATGTTATAAACATACTACATTATAGGTACAGATGTGATGAATACACTCAAACTTTATATATAAATGTAGCTATTGATGTTATAAACATACTACATTATAGGTACAGATATGATGAATACACTCAAACTTTATATATAAATGTAGCTATTGATGTTATAAACATACTACATTATAGGTACAGATATGATGAATACACTCAAACTTTATATATAAATGTAGCTATCGATGTTATAAACATACTACATTATAGGTACAGATGTGATGAATACACTCAAACTTTATATATAAATGTAGCTATTGATGTTATAAACATACTGCATTATAGGTACAGATGTGATGAATACACTCAAACTTTATATATAAATGTAGCTATTGATGTTATAAACATACTACATTATAGGTACAGATGTGATGAATACACTCAAACTTTATATATAAATGTAGCTATTGATGTTATAAACATACTACATTATAGGTACAGATGTGATGAATACACTCCAACTTGCTCACGTACGCAATCATTCTTCAACATGTCCCTGATTAAACAAGGCAGAAAATAGATACACTCAAACCAAGCAGATAGCGGTGGCTATAAAAACTGGCTCAGCTCAAGCACATTACATTTACAGATATCATTGTCATTATGGAAAGAGGGGCAAGAGAGAGCGAAAGAGAGGAAAGGCGATGAGTAAAAAAGAGGAAAAGAGGAGGACAAACAAAGCTGGGAGGGTTCATTAAATACTGTCTATTTCTACAATCGTTCATTTATAAGAAATAAAGAGAAAAATCAAACTATAGCAGTAATTATGGTGATGCCAAGGTCAATGGGGAAAGAAGCTCAAAGTGTATTTTATGATTCCAAAATAGGTCTCCATTTTTTCCAGTTGTTTTTGAAATTCCTTTTTATGTTACAATTTTTGCCAGAAAATATTTTCATTGTTTCTAATTCTTCCAAAACTTCAACACATAAAAATATATGGGGCTACTGGGTCGCCTTGACGACAACCACGCTGAATGTTAATTGGCGTTGATTGGTTAACCCCTGATTAACCACTGAATAAACATTAGTATACAAAATTTTCACCCACTTCCTAATATCCAAACCAAAGTTAAACTCAGAACATTATCAATAAAATGCCAAGAAACTGAATCAAATGCATTTACAAATTACACCATTAGCAGCACTCCTGGAATATTCAAATCTTCTGCATAACGCATTACATCATAAAGAGTACGAATGTTTTCCCCGATATAATGCCCAGACAAAAATCCTGTCTGATCTTCATTAATAAGTTTCCCTAAAACTGACTTTAATCTATAAGAAATTATTCCTGATGCTATTTCATATGTAAAGTTCAAAAATGAAATAAGTCTCCAATTTTTTAAGAAATGAAGAGGCTTATCTCCCTTAGGTATGCAAGTTATCACACCTTGTCTCGGAGTGGTTGAAAGTTGACCTATTGAGAAACTGTAATTGATGGAATGCACCACAAAAATACTTAGGAATTTCCAAAAAGTTTCATAAAATTCTGAAGTAAAGCCATCCGAAACTTGATTCTTGTTATTTTTCATATCTTTCAATACCCTTCCAGCCTCCTAAAATGTAATTACACCTAAATTAACTTATAAACAGTACAGTGATGGAGATGTTGATCCAAATCAATAAAGTTAACTTATTTAAATTTGTGCAAGTTTTCATAGAATAATTTAACTTCTTTTAAATTGTTATCTTGATTTGTAATCATATCACCGTTATCCTTCTAGATTTTCGGAATAATTTTGGAAGTAAAATCTAATTCTTCCTGGTCAGAATCTATATTGCCTTCTAAAATTTCGATAGATTTCTTTAAATTTTCTTCTTTAAGGTTCTGTTGCATTTTTCTATGAGATGCATATCCTATTGACTTGCCTCTTATTTCCATTACTAAAGTCTCCGAAAACAACTGATCATTAATTAAGAACTAAATTTCTGTATCAGGTATAAATACAATAGAATTAAGGTTATACACTGGCAGGCAATAATGTATTTCTGTATCAGGTATAAATACAATAGAATTAAGGTTATATACTGGCAGGCAATAATGTATTTCTGTATCAGGTATAAATACAATAGAATTAAGGTTATACACTGGCAGGCAATAATGTATTTCTGTATCAGGTATAAATACAATAGAATTAAGGTTATATACTGGCAGGCAATAATGTATTTCTGTATCAGGTATAAATACAATAGAATTAAGGTTATATACTGGCAGGCAATAATGTATTTCTGTATCAGGTATAAATACAATAGAATTAAGGTTATATACTGGCAGGCAATAATGTATTTCTGTATCAGGTATAAATACAATAGAATTAAGGTTATACACTGGCAGGCAATAATGTATTTCTGTATCAGGTATAAATACAATAGAATTAAGGTTATATACTGGCAGGCAATAATGTATTTCTGTATCAGGTATAAATACAATAGAATTAAGGTTACAGGCAATAGTGTATTTCTGTATCAGGTATAAATACAATAGAATTAAGGTTATACACTGGCAGGCAATAATGTATTTCTGTATCAGGTATAAATACAATAGAATTAAGGTTATATACTGGCAGGCAATAATGTATTTCTGTATCAGGTATAAATACAATAGAATTAAGGTTATAGGCAATAATGTATTTCTGTATCAGGTATAAATACAATAGAATTAAGGTTATACACTGGCAGGCAATAATGTATTTCTGTATCAGGTATAAATACAATAGAATTAAGGTTATAGGCAATAATGTATTTCTGTATCAGGTATAAATACAATAGAATTAAGGTTATACACTGGCAGGCAATAATGTATTTCTGTATCAGGTATAAATACAATAGAATTAAGGTTATACACTGGCAGGCAATAATGTAATTTTATATCTTCTATACATTTCTTAACTATGTCTAAATAATCAAGTTCAACTAATAAGGAGTTATTAAACTTCCAGAGACTTCTTCCTCTTCTAAATTCATTTAATTTCAAAGCAATCACTGTGGCATAATGATCAGATCTATAACTCGGTTAAATGAATGACTTTCTTGTGCTAGATAATAAACAACCTGAAGTGAGAAAAAGGTCTAAACTAGCCTGTTTAAGTGGATTTTTTCTTCGCCAAGTATATCTCTTGATATCTGGATGGAGTTCTCTAAAAATATCAATAAGATTGTATGCCTCACTGACTTTTAACACCTTCTCCCGAGTAGATGCATTATTGATATTGTTGTAGTTGTAAGAGATAAATTGCTTGGGGTCATCATCGATAATTCCTTAACATGGTCAGATCACATTTCGTCAATATTGGGCAAAATAAGGCAAAAGCTAGGCTTGTTGCATCATATTAGTCCATATTTACCCATGGAAGGAAAACTGAATTTTTTTCAGGCATGTATTTTCCCACATTTTGTGTATTGCAGCACTGTGTAGTCAGGTTGTTCAGGAAATTTAATGGGCAAGCTTTTGAAAACTCAGAAACAAGCTGCCTGAATGATTCTCGATGTACCATTTCATACCCCTTCCAAAGACATGTTTGAAGTTTTACAGTGGATACCTATTGATAGATACTTGAAGTTTAGAAGATTATGTATGAAGATGTCCCAGACTACTTATCTAGCAATGTCTCATTAGTTAGAAATAGTCACAATAGAATTACAAGATATGCCTGTGATAACAACTTTTTAGTTCCAAAACACAGAACTGTTTTTTACTCAAACTATTTTTTGATATCGAGTATCAAAGATTGGAATCTTTTACCTCTTGAACTTAAGGGGATCAATTGTTTTACTACTTTTAAAAGACTACTAGTCAAACTTTTACTTGATTTGTAGACAATTTTGCAAGATACTGCAGCTTTTTACTTTTTAGAGCAACCAAGTCTTTTATTTGTACACTGTATACTTTTCAATCATGTATGTAATCATGTAATTTTTATCCAACAGATGAAGTATATTGTTTACTCATACATGTTGTTTTTACTGACCCATTGATATGTACTTTTACTAACAAGAGGACCATGTGTTAGATAAGCCTTTGGCTTAACATGTATTTATCCTCTGAAAATAAAGATTATTATTATTATAACATTTTTCTCTACAGTGACAATCCTGTAATGTCATCAAGACTTCACTTATCTATGTCACAATACTATCATTGCACATGTGTTTTACGAAATTTATGACAAAGTGACATGGCATAACACAAAATGCCAGTGATAAAAACACTTAATCAGCTGTTACTGACCTTCTGACTGGGATCATTTGGTACGGAAATACCCCAGGACACTCGGTCACTGCTGCGAGTCACAGATAAGTCAGTCAGGTTTTCTAATGAGGATTGCACAACTTGTTTGAACTGAGGAGGTTGTATCACTACAGAAAAACAAATATTATTCCTAGCATTTTGAACCTTTATTAATATCTAAAGAAAACAATGTTTAATATCTTGTAATCTTTTACCCATTTCTACTGAGCTGTTGACAACACGAGTGTAAAATCATTCACTTTCCTTGAGGATTTATTTTCATTGACTTTGTGGGTACACTTAATCCACAAATTTATATGTTTTTGCAATGTTAAAATAAGTATGAGTAAACTTACTAAGCTGCATTTATTCTGAAAATCAAGTGTCCATGGAAACGTGATTTTTTTAAAATGAAAATCAAGCCCCACAAAATTCTACGATTTTACAGTATTACCAGACCTGGGCTTGTGGCTTAATGAACAGGTAATTCACTTTGAGCTGATATCAAATTCATGGGCAGATATTGTTTCTTGTTTTTGTTCCAGATGTAATGATGACATCTAATAAGGAATTTTTCACAAGACATTCTAAAAAGCATTCAGACATCAATACAATGTATTCAAACATATTTGAATTTTTTTTCTAGATAATTCTGTTAGGTAAATGATTTTTATTTAAAAGAGAGAAACTGGCCCATTTAAGGTTCTACCTTCTGTATCTATCCACTGCTGGAGCTGAGGCTTGAACTGCGACAGTCTGAACTTGTAATTCTCTTCCTCCATCCACACCACAGGATGACCACTCTCCGCAGAGACCTGTCAATCACACATGGACATTTTCTATAACACAAAAAGAGTGGTTCAACTCACAGATTCTTTGCATCAAGTATGACCAAACTCTCTCCCTTCATTCATCTAATGGCTTCTGTACCTAGAGTTAGCTATTCACTTTAACAATATACAATTCCTTCAGCTCTTGTACACTGAAGAAGGCTAATCTATCCAAAATCATTGATATCATATTCACATCCAAATACCACTGTTGATCAAATCCTTCATAAAAAATCTAACAAATTAAATTTGACTTGTCCATAATTCATTGTTCACACTAAACATGGTATGTTTATTCTTTACTACTCAAGATTTATTTTCATGCTCCCTGAAGGGAGAGTATACAGTTGCTGCTTTGTCTGTCCATTTGTTCATCCATTTGTCTGTTCATCATATTTTTTCCAGAGCATATCACAAAAACTTTTAGAGGTATCAACATGAAACTTCATAGGTAGATAAATCTCAATAAGAGGCAGTGCTGTGTACAAGAATCATAACTCTCTTTTGCATAAATAGTCCTTTTGGAACAACCATTTATTTGGGGAACATCTATCAGGTCTACCGATTCTCTTGTTTTAGACTTTACTAAGTAACCTTCCTTTCATACATCGTTCAAACTTGTATTCATTGTAATATGCATCTCTTCTTCTACTGGAAACTTAGATCAAATGTTACCTCTGGCCATTCAAAACTGAATGATAATTGCTTCAATATGATAAAGTTTAGTTAAGATACTATGAACTAAATATGAATCAAAGATATTGAAACATTTGCAAAATATGACATTTTTCTGAATAGGATGCCACAAAATGTGACAGAATGACAGAATGAAGAGACATGTGAAACAATATATGCCTCTTCCTCTATCAAAACGGCATTAAATGTCACAGGACGAACACGTAAATCAGAATGTGTAAGTTCACACTCTGTACACAAAAGCAAAGGAACCATCACTCTTTTTTTTACCTTCTGTGTTTCTCCTGACTTTGTTGTAACGTCAACTACATCATTATCAGAAACAAAAGCTTCGTCAGAAATAGAATACCATCCCTTGTATAAATCCTTGTAGATGAATCCTTTCTCATCAAGTACATTCTAAAACCAGAAAACATTGAAGTTATCAGCAAAGTGATGTTGATATTTAGTCAGTTATGACTGTGCAATAGAGAAGTTTGATTCATAATTCAGTTGTACTGTATCTTCGTATCTAAATTTGCATTGAAAAGCGGTATGATTCTCTAGAGTGTGTTTTGTAAAATCCCTTAAGCAAGTATTTCTAGCGAGGACACTTTTAGAGAAGTTTATGTAATGAACACACAATAGTTTTATACCCGTTTCAGTAGACAAAGTGTTTTCTTATGCTGATTTGGAATGGGACATTTAAGTCTCATTTAGGGGAGAAAATTGGCGAATTGACAAACAAATTTTCAGTAACAAACTTCAAATTCAAGGAATTGTTCCTGAAAATCAAAAATGTCATCTGGAAATGGGGCCAATAATTGACAAAAATATAAAAAAAAAGTCTTCACAGTGGCCCTCAAATAATGCATTTTACCAAAACTCAAAATGGCAAAAAATATCAGAAAAGTTTGTAGATTGCAAATGTTGAGATAGTTTTACCCATAACTGATGTACAGCCTTCACATGACTTTCATCCGTTGTACGAACAAAGGTGGAGAAGTTTATATCACTCTTCTTAAACAGGTCCTAGGGTAAAAAAGAGAAGGTCAATATCTAGATATGAAAGGCTTTCTTGAACCCTACTGGATGTCAAGTTTATCCTCAGTCCAGATATGTTATAGAAGGTCTTTATTTATCACATTTAAATGTTGAGAAAACCACAACTTCGGTCAATAATTTGGCAAAAATTGCTCTTCAGGATTATGTAATTTCATTTTTAGAGGGGAAGTTTGAAATATGGCAAGCAGAATCAGGGCCATTCATCTTTACTTCAAAACAAGATGACCCCTCTACTCAAAGGTGTTGACTTTAACCTTAAACTTGTCGGAGACCTCATCACAGAAAACTTTGGGTGCCACACCAGCCTTCTCAGCTGCTTGTTGAACCTAAACAAGGCAAAAATATGATAAGAGGTACAAAATAAGTAGGTGTAGGTTTTCAGCTAAAAACCTGTACATGAGCTGCACCAGTGTTACAGAATGTCAGCACATGAAGACTGCAGTTAATTGATATCAAACACATTCTAATAATAGCTTTCATATATAATTGTACAAAATTTGTATAAAAAGTTACATCTTGCATTTACATTTTACAATCTGTTTGGAGAAATGAACTACCATGTCATTCTATGCAAAAAAATCAACTCTCTAAGTGTTCCCCTATAGGAATTTGACAAGTTAACTTTTCCTTTGAATCATCAAAATGACAATGATTTTACATGCCTTATTATAATACATCACTAAATGCAAAGTAAATGTCTGGCATCTTAATACTTCACTCCTTTGAGTTCAGAGATGAGGTATCTCAACACCTGGGACAAGATTCTTCAGTTGCCCAACAGTTAAGGCATCAAATTTCTAGTGCGGGTATGGTATCAGACAGATTGGACAAGAGAATATTTCACTCCTTTTGTGGTCAAAGATGAATGACCACAACCTAAAGGGCAAACTTCTTAAGTTGCCTTACATTAGGCTTGTCAAGTGTTGCAGTATTAAGCTGTCAATTCAAGTTTGGCAACTTAATATTTGTCCTCATTTTGAGTTTCAAAAAAGAACCAGCCACCACAATTAAGTTGCAGTAAACTTATTACAGTACAATTAGGACACTTATGGCCAAATAGCTCACTCCAATTCTCAGCAACATACATGTATCTTTAAATAGTCAAAGATTATAAGACCTGAATAACAGAAACAAGAACCCGTATTAATACAACATATATTACATCTTCTTTCATTTGAAGGAGAGATGTACTTAGCAGAATGTTAACCTTCAATCCATGCTCATCTGTTCCCGTGGCAAAGAATGTCTGACTGCCTTTGAGTCTCTTCCACCTTACCACAGAATCAGCAACTAATGCAGTATAGAGATGGCCAATGTGAGGAGCTGAAACACAAACATCCCATTTAGTGAGATACTGGTATAATGCTAGGAGCTGAGACACAAACATCCCATTTACTGAGGTACTTGTCTAATGCTAGGAGCTGAGACACAAACATCCCATTTAGTGAGGTACTGGTCTGATGCTAGGAGCTGAGACACAAACATCCCATTTACTGAGGTACTGGTATAATGCTAGGAACTGAGACACAAACATCCCATTTAGTGAGGTACTGGTATGATGCTAGGAGCTGAGAGACAAACATCCCATTTAGTGAGGTACTGGTATAATGCTAGGAACTGAGAGACAAACATCCCATTTAGTGAGGTACTGGTATAATGCTAGGAACTGAGAGACAAACATCCCATTTACTGAGGTACTGGTCTAATGCTAGGAGCTGAGACACAAACATCCCATTTAGTGAGGTATTTGTCTAATGCTAGGAGCTGAGAGACAAGCATCCCATTTAGTGAGGTACTGGTATAATGCTAGGAACTGAGAGACAAACATCCCATTTAGTGAGGTACTGGTATAATGCTAGGAACTGAGAGACGAACATCCCATTTACTGAGGTACTGGTCTAATGCTAGGAGCTGAGACACAAACATCCCATTTAGTGAGGTATTTGTCTAATGCTAGGAGCTGAGACACAAACATCCCATTTACTGAGGTACTTGCCTAATGCTAGGAGCTGAGACACAAACATCCCATTTAGTGAGGTACTTTTCTAATGCTAGGAGATGAGAGATAAACATCCCATTTAGTGAGATACTGGTCTAATGCTAGGAACTGAGACACAAACATCCCATTTAGTGAGGTACTGTTCTGATGCTAGGAGCTGAGACACAAACATCCCATTTAGTGAGGTACTGGTCTAATGCTAGGAGCTGATACACAAACATCCCATTTACTGAGGTACTGGTATAATGCTAGGAACTGAGAGACAAACATCCCATTTAGTGAGGTACTGGTCCAATGCTAGGAGCTGAGAGACATATTAAGTAAGATATAAGATTGCTTAACTCCACGACACTCATCTCTTGTTGCAACAATTACATACGAGAAAGACTTGTAAAGATATGTTGCTATTTGGGTGCTTAGAAAGAAATAAGGAAAAGGATTTTTTTGTTCTATAATATGTATCCTGTAAACTACGATAAATTCAATAGATATCCTACAGTATATATGTATTTCTTATTTTATTTTTCATTCCAAGTATCCATACTTTAAACAATAAAAACAGAGTTCATGTCTCTGAATCAGGGGACTTAACTCATTTTGACAATAGATACTATATATGGCTAGACTACACCAACGTGAATTCAGCACAAATAATGCAGTAGATTGTAGAGTGTCTGAACGTTCAATTTAAGTGTTTTCGTTACATTTTATACGTACATGCATTGACATAGAATATCGGAGTAGACACATAAAATGCAGCTTTCTGCGGTCGACTTTCCTGTGAAGATGTGGGAGTTGATATAAACGACGTCGTCTGCAGCCATCTCTCCACAAAAACTTTCTGTCGTCTTTTCAGAAACACACGTGCGTACGCACGCCATAAGTTTACAGATCTATACGTGAATACTTTAGACAGTTCTGTCAGAGGTCTTACGGCTAGCATCATGAAAGGCAAACGTGGTTTTCCAAAAATAACTCGAGTGATACTAACTACCGTCAGATATAACTCGGATAACGCCAAGCACAGCCAGCAGTTATGAATGGGGAACCCTAAAAGCCCTGTGAATTCTGCAGACAAGACGAAAGCGACAACAGAACCAAAACTGGAATCGTGAAAAATAACATCCCTTTGCTGGTCAATGCATATAAGGAAAAATGATGGGTTCATTATGTAAACGGGTATTTCGGACGTTGATGATGGTGTAAAGAGATCATGGCAACTACCTCTGCTGATTTACAGTAAAAATGTTTTGGAGAAAAAGTAATCCATCACCCCTAACTTTGAAAAAATGACCATGCATAACTCGACAAAATCCATTTTTTCATACTTAAAATTTTCGTAGTTCCACCAATGTGACTCGAAGAATGTCCCGGCCAAGTATTATTGTTTTCCGGGTCGGCCCGAAATTCTAGTTGGCCACTATTGCAGACATCTGAAAATAACATTTTTAATTTCTTGTCCAGTTCCTCTGATGCTGTTGAGATAAAAAAAAAATACTAAAGTGAAGGGAAAAGAATGCCGAAAGTTCTACATAGCATTGAAGTCACAGCTACCATCTGTAAAATGCAATCATGATTTTCTTGAACAACCCACATTTCCAAATTCTTCTCAAGTTCTGCTTTAGAGGTTAAAAATATAATTGACATTTGTTGTGATTGATTCTGAAATGTTATCAATAAAAGTTGTTATTTTTGGATAGAAGAAGTCCGCCATCTTGAAACACCATTTCTTACTCACTTACACCAGTGTCACTGAGCTGAAAATTAAAGAAAGGATATCGATAAAATAAAAAGGGGTGGGGGATGTTGACTTGGTTTAACCAATCCAATGTTCTGCGATCGATTTAAAACGACCAAAAGTATATTCAAGATACCTTCGAGCTCCGCATCATGCATGCCGAGCCGTGTTCCTTGTAACAGGATGCAAAATATTGATGGTTTCGCGGGCTTGACAGTTCATTAAGAAATTACGTGCTAGGATAATCCAAAATGTAATTCAGATTGACACAACCCTTTTTTCTGGTACAATTTTTAACTTAATCTGGTCGAAAAAGAATGCATACAAAATTTCAGCATTTTCTATTGAATAGTTGTACAAATATAACACATTATTCTTTTATGTAAACGTGTACATTGCCTCGGTTTGTTAATAACTATTGGACATATGTGGACCAAGAATTGCCTATATATACACAAACAATATGCATGTATACCAGAAGTTATTAATAGAATGATCACAGACTTGACTCGATCCTGTAAATCCAGTGTGCTCCTGTGGACATCCTTGTGAGAATGCCTTTCACTTCTTCTTCGAGTGTCGAACTTTCAGAAATGAAAGACACATTTTGTTTCAAAATCTGGCTGAGTTAGAAGTAGATTTGAATTTAGAGCTTCTTTTATTTGGTAATAACGATCTTTCTGAGGACCTAAACTATTTTGTCTTTACACATGTACAAAATTTCATTAAATCCAGCAAAAGGTTTTACAAGATTCTTATACGATGATGTATTTATGTCTGTGTGTGAATGCTTAATATGTATAATTTATGTTTAAGCCTATCTCTTTATGGGAGAGGGATCCAATAAGTTGTAATAACTTGTGCCCAGTTCCCTTGTTCAAATTTATTTTGGCAATAAAATATGTTTAAACTAAACCTGTAAATACTTATCACAGACACGAACTGCGTCCAATTACTTTTCTTCAAGTTTAAATGTTTTTTTCAGAGATATCGGAATGTGTCAGATTTATTGCATAAAGGATTGTCAAACAAAATGAAACGTAAACAACGGATTCAAAAACGAATTTCTAAATTAAATTCTTTAAAGATATATTGGAATGCGTCAGAGAATTATTAAGACAAATGGGATAATCAATATACTAAATCCATACCCTGTCAACTTCGTGTTCTTTAGAGCTACCCTTAACTATATATAACTATAGTATCCATTGTACTTGGCAGACACAAGTACCTAGAGTATATAACGATACACCTGGGTGGTGTACATATACACCCAATCAATATTTTAAAACCACACGGCCCAACAAAACCACTATGTGATTCGGGTAGATATATATAAAACGCTAAAACACGGCGGTTAATTACTTTTCGGATTATGCGGTAAAGATCGGCTTCTTATGCCGTAAATTTTCTATAGATTTCAAACCGAATACTGACTTCTAATTACGTCAGATTCTAAAGACAGGTGTAAAATTAAATGACCACGCGATTTCTAACATGCGCTTTTCTATAGATTATTTATAAACTACCTGTAATGCACCACGTTTTAGTACTATCAGGATAGCTTTGTCAAGATAACATAGAGGAGTGTTTGTACTGTGTGTGTTTTGGAGATAGTTGCTATTTTTCTCTTGCGACGGTGAAAAGGCGCGGCGTTATTGTGTTGGAGTAGAGGGAAAACTCACACGATTTCCAGCAACAGGTATGTGTATTTTTATAAAATAAATTTTCTATTCTATTGATTTAATAATTATTTTATTGCAGAAAGTTCGTACAATAGGATTGGATACAAGTTTTATCAACTTATAAAGCCCTCTCCACTACATAGTTTATACACAAATACTTAAACAACAAGTAATGTAACAATATATATAATAATAATAATTTTTGATTGAAACAAAAGTTAAGGACTGAAGAGAAGGAAGGAGGGTAGGTAAGGAAGGAAGAAAGGAGTATATAGTACAAAGGAGGAAAGGTGGGGAATGCAGAGAACTAGCCAAATCGCTCAGGTGCATCAATAAATTTTTGAACAGCTCTAGCTAAAAGCGAGTTTTTAGCCGAACCTACTTACGTCTCCGTTTAAAAGAACGTTTACCGAAATATCACCCGAATACAATGACAGTTCGGTAAATAGGGTGTTACGAATTTGTATATAGTTGGTACAGTGAAGTAAGTAATGAAAGGAGTCTTGGAGGGATGTCCGCAGGAGCAAGATGTAGAGTTCGTGAGATTGGCTCTGAATAGGTCATAATTGAGTGAGCTCTATTTCTGAAACGACAATGAAGAATATCTAGCTGACGAGGGCCATATGATAAAAATCACGATTTAAGCTTGTTGGTGCTTCTTGTAAATTCAGTGAACCAACAATTTTTAAAGACTCCTCTAATATATTCCAGAGATCAGTTGTAGAAGGGGAAAACGAGTTACACATAGATTGAAGGCGGTAAGTTGGCTGTCGTAACTGATCTGTGTTTTCTATTCTATTATTTACGAAGGCTTGTTATTCGCATAATCTAGTTGCATTTCCGCATTTTTTATTAATTAGTCTCACCTGGAATATTTAATGAATAAAACAATTTATAGACTAAATCAGCAACATTAATATGAACGTAAATTTTACATTAACTGTAACTTTGGTTATAAGGCTGCTTAGTTATGTTATTGTTTATCTATCAAATTTGATTGATTTTGAAATGGAGACTTATTTTAGTAATATGTGGAAGACAAAGAATGATAAGCTGATTATTCCTACCAAACCCCTTGGCCCCACCCCATCCGCGTTATTTGATCATCAAATTCGACAAATTTAATGACGTCATTTTGATCGCTGTACTACACATGTACTGGTATCTATATAAGCCTGAATGAAGTCGAGATACATGTGTTTTATTTGAGACATGCTGACTCAAATATTTTCTATATAGGCTCATATTCAATGCTACTTATAATTTTTTTTTCTATAACGCCAATTCGACTATGATCGATCGTAAAAACTCAATTCTATTTAAATTTCATTCGACATCACATTATCCAATCAGTAACCCACGGATATTTACCGTAATTAATTAATTCACCGCTGATTTTGTCCACGGCCGAACATTGTGAAGATATTTAAATCGACTGTTACTGAAGAAGTTTTAAACGTTCGTTATCTTATGTGTCACCATGTGTTATTTTAAGTGTACCTAGCATTGTAAGAAAAGGAGTTCGTGCCAAGTCCTCCTATTTGTAAATGTACCTATAAGAAGGACGAGTTATCAAATTACAACAATGCTTGTCCAAAATAAATGATCAAATCCATTTAAAAGCATTATTGGCGATTTCACGTCTTCATAAAAGCCGTCAAAGTTATTAAATGAAGGATGTGTTGAGTTTTGTGTGAATGCCCAATTTAAAGTGCTATTTCGCTGGATTGTGTTAACGCCCTGGCACGGTAGCGCAACACTCAATGTTATTTTAATCTGTGATAGACCTTTCGCAGATGTATCAGAGTGCGGCATTACTACACCTCTGTTATGATCTTTATAAACATAATGTATATTTAACACCATTTGAAATCGACCGTTCCGTGTTTGATCATGGTCTTAAGATAGAGTGTCACAGCACTATTTTAACATATAGAAGAACTCAGAATATTTTCCTTCCGTTTTACGATGTGAAATATATATTTGTACAAGGGGATGTATAGATAGCGATTTTTTCTACATGACTTATGTTAATTGTTTTTATTCCAGTCTCCGATAATCCCTTTGAGCTTTTCAATTATCTAAACAATATTTTGAAAAAAGTGTTCGTGAAACACTATGTCACCGGTTGCAACAAAATTAAAACATATGGTGAAAAATCTTCGTACACCGGAAAGGTCACAAGGAGTACACATGCTAAATATCAAAGCCTTACCTCTTACGGTGCAATAGTCATGGGTAAGATTAAATTTGACAAACAAACAAACAAACAGCTCAAAAACAACATGTCCCCGATCTTTCGATCCGGAGGCATAAGAAAAATCGAAATCAGATATTTTCTAAATATTATGACGACGGTTTATTATAATAGATAACAGAAAACAACTCCCAATTATTAATTTAGACACGTTTATTACTTAAAATGAAAGAAAAAAACAAACAAAAACAAAATATAAATATAAATAAAAAAAGGACAAAACAAACAAACACAAAAATAAACAATAAAAACCCCGTACAACTCTTACACTGAAGCCTATCAACAGAAGTTATCGTCAGAGTTTATATTATCTTGTTTTTATAACAAGCAATTAGTAATTTCCTTGGTTGTCTTTCCAATAAATAAACAAAATGTTGTTTGTTTGTTTTTAACTATATCTAACGAGGGACACACGATAAAGACAAACCAAAACTCTTATATTCGATATTCCAACAAATAATGTTGTGAAGATTTCAACCCTGGGTAGTGACATTTAACCCCAAAGAGTAATTTCACTTTTGGAGTAATTATTGTAATGTACTAAAGGGAGTGAGACATCGAGGACGAATTTCATTTCATTTTTGTATGTCCTTTTTATATTGATTTAAGGTTAAAATATATAAAGAAGTATTATCATAAGAGTCCCTCTGTTTACAAACTTGTCCAACTATTATCTGTAAATAACGTCAAAGAGTTGTCAAATATAGGTAAATATTTGTATCTAGCCACTAAACGACGTAATTAATTAATTACAGCTACATGTATTTATAACTTTTGTGCTTCTGTATTATGCTGTATTGTATGCTTATAGTCACTCTCCTATAACATATACATGTACAATATATCATGTTTAGTCTGTACCTATAAGTCTTAAGACTTTTGGTGAATAAAAGAAAGAAAGAAAGAAAGGGCAGGAATTTCCGACCCTACGGGCCGATTATAATGTACACAGGTCGTGGGACTGGGAATCAATGCAGGGTCCCTGTAGAACAGATCCATAGTATACTGTGGTCTAGCGGGCCTTAGTACTGAAAGGCTTGGTGATACAACACGTAAGTCAAATATGACATAGTCATAAACGGGTATCGTATTTCCAGAAGGAATCAATACAAACATATCGAGGTTTTCAATATCAACCTAGACCCACCTGTACAAAACCTAATTACCTTCCCACGAAAATACAAATAACTCATCATGCATATTTTACAGCGTGCATGAATTAAACACGAAATCCGAACATAAACTATATCGGAAGCGATTTTAAAATAACATTATGGCTATGAAAACAATAATAAATTAATTAATATTAACAAATCTTAGATTATAAGACTAACCATGCTTTGAGTAATTTTAAACATGCGTGGTGTAGACCCAAGTAATAAACGCGGAGATAAGTGTTTAATCTTTAATGCAGTTCGGACCATTGATAGGACGAAGCTAGTGTCTTTACACGGTGAGCCAGATCATAAATGATAGATTGTTCGAGGTAAGTGGATTGCAGCAAGTAGGACGAAAGAATAGGCAAGATTGTTTATATAGAGAGGAGACGAAGAGGAAATAGACGAATATTAGAGATGAAATGACAAGCATAAGGGATGCCACGAGCGATCGAGAAATTATAAAGTGAAAATAGAAGAAGCAAACAGACAGAAAGTTGAGATATCATAAAGTAGATATATACGACGTTGGAGATAACAGGGAGTCGATATAGTCAGGAGTCGAGGGCGAAGAAAATAAAGAAGAAGTCGATATGGAAAGGAGACTGAGATGAAGGGACAGGAAGCAGGTGTAGAGAGTAGAATTAGGATGAGAGGACAGGAAGTAGGTAAAGAGAGGAGACGAGGGAAGAGAGGACGGGAAGTAGGTATAGAGAGAAGACGTAGGATGAGAGGATAGGAAGTAGGCGTAGAGAGGAGACTTAGGATGGGGGGGACAGGAAGTAGGCGTAGAGAGGAGACGTGGGATGAGAGGACAGGAAATAGGCGTTGAGAGGAGACATGGGATGAGAGGACAGGAAGTAGGCGTAGAGAGGAGACTAAGGATGAGAGGAGAGGAAGTAGGTAAAGAGAGGAGACGAGGAAAGAGAGGACGGGAAGTAGGCGTAGAGAGGAGACGTGGGATGAGAGGACAGGAAATAGGCGTTGAGAGGAGACGTGGGATGAGAGGACAGAAAGTAGGCGTAGAGAGGAGACTAAGGATGAGAGGACAGGAAGTAGGTAAAGAGAGGAGACGAGGGAAGAGAGGACAGGAAGTAGGTATAGAAAGGAGACGTGGGATGATAGGACAGGAAGTAGGTAAAAAGAGGAGATGAGGGAAAAGGAACAGGAAGTAGGCGTAGAGAGAAGACTAAGGATGAGAGGACAGGAAGTAGGTAAAGAGAGGAGACGAAGAAAGAGAGGACAGGAGGTAGACGTAGAGAGGAGACGTGGGCTGAGAGGACAGGAAGTAGACGTAGAGAGGAGACATGGGATGAGAGGACAGGAAGTAGGCTTAGAGAGGAGACTAAGGATGAGAGGACAGGAAGTAGGTAAAGAGAGGAGACGAGGAAAGAGAGGACGGGAAGTAGGCGTAGAGAGGAGACGTGGGATGAGAGGACAGGAAATAGGCGTTGAGAGGAGACGTGGGATGAGAGGACAGGAAGTAGGCGTAGAGAGGAGACTAAGGATGAGAGGACAGGAAGTAGGTAAAGAGAGGAGACGAGGGAAGAGAGGACAGGAAGTAGGTATAGAAAGGAGACGTGGGATGATAGGACAGGAAGTAGGTAAAGAGAGGAGATGAGGGAAAAGGGACAGGAAGTAGGCGTAGAGAGAAGACTAAGGATGAGAGGACAGGAAGTAGGTAAAGAGAGGAGACGAAGAAAGAGAGGACAGGAGGTAGACGTAGAGAGGAGACGTGGGCTGAGAGGACAGGAAGTAGACGTAGAGAGGAGACTAAGGATGAGAGGACAGGAAGTAGGTAAAGAGAGGAGACGAGGGAAGAGAGGACAGGAGGTAGGCGTAGAGAGGAGACGTGGGATGAGAGGACAGGAAGTAGGCGTAGAGAGGAGACGCGGGAAGAGAGGACAGAAAGTAGGCGTAGAGAGGAGACTAAGGATGAGAGGACAGGAAGTAGGTAAAGAGAGGAGACGAGGGAAGAGAGGACAGGAAGTAGGTATAGAGAGGAGACGTGGGATGAGATGACAGGTAGCTGGTATAGAGAGGAGACGAGTAAAAAGTGACAGGATGTTGGTAAAGAGAGGAGACGAGGGAAGAGAGGACAGGAAGTAGGTAAAAAGAGGAGACGAGGGAAAAGGGACAAGAAGTAGGTATAAAGAGATGTGGAATGAGAGGACAGGTAGTTGATATAGAGAGGAGACGAGGGAAAAGGGACAGGAAGTTGGTATAGAGAGGAGTAGTGGGATGAGAGGACAGGAAGTTGGTATAAAGAGTTGTTGAATGACAGGAAGTTGGTATGGAGAGGAGTGGTTTAATGAGAGGACAGGAAGAAGGTATAGAGCGGAAACGGAGATGAAAGTACAGGAAGTAGGTGTAGAGAGGAGACGAGGGAAAAGGGACAGGAAGTAGGTATAGAGAGATGTGGAATGAGAGGACAGGAAGTTGGTTTAGAGAGGAGACGCGGGATGAAAGAACAGGAAGTAGGTATAGAGAGGAGACGAGAGAAAAGGGACGGAAGTAGTTATAAAGAGATGTGGAATGAGAGGAAAGGAAGTAAGTATAGAGAGGAGTAGTGGGATGGGAGGACAGGAAGTAGGTATAGAGAGGAAAAGTGGGATGAGAGGACAGGAAGTAGCAACTTAACCGGATCGCATACATTTTTTTTCACCAGTCGATTGTATCATCATCTAGACTTGAATAGATATTTTTGAATAATTACCGACACCATTTCATTTTGAAATGGACCTACTTTCATAAAACTATACATTTATGAAAAACACAACAATTTGTATAAATTTTCATTACCAATGTTTGCCTTACTTGAAAGAATTCGATTTATCATAAAGTTCAATCCGTAGATACGACTTTGTTTCACCTGAACACCAAAAATTGATTACTATTAATTAATGGTACGTTGGAAACGGATATCGGTTACTGACGGTGTTGTTTGTGATGGATTTCCAGGTTCTCAATTACACCAAAAAAATCAATCGGTGTAGAAATTTTCTAAATCTGGTAATCTATAACGTAAACAGTTCATTAATCGTGGTTCTAGTAATATTAATAACGATAACAAATTCTAATATTAGGTCCAAACACTGATGGTGCAATGGATGTTATAAGCATTTCATGGATATTTGTTCCGGAATCCCATTTCTGTTTGGTTCAAATATAAGCACGATTTTATTAAATATTAAAGTTGGCCATAGAACGGATTTGACACGAAAGCATGTAAAGAACTTCCTCCTCTATCATTGATCAAATACGTACGTGCCAAATATAAGTATTTCTATAAGTGTATCTAAGAGAGAATAAAATATAATTTACAACGTGTAGACTCACGACATTCTTAAAGAGAAGTGTGCATTCGTATTTGAGAGAGAGAGAGAGAGAGAGAGAGAGAGAGAGAGAGAGGGGGGGGGGGGGGGGGGGGGGGTAGCAGGCACGTTTTTTAAGGAACTGAATGTGAAAAGTTTTCCCATGAAATGTTTAACCTCTAATCAAACTACATGTGATTTCATGGTTACAAAATACAATAATGTAGTTCAAAATGCAAAACAACAGCACAACTTGCCCCAAATATGACAAGTACACAAGTACAATCAATAAAAAGGATGAATTAGACATCCTGATTACACCAATTTAATAATTGGTTTCACTGAATTTCTAGATAGCACTGTAATACTTTTAACTGGCCCCTTCTTCTTCAGAAAAGATATTACATGTAGATGTATAGGTATGGTATTTTTCATGATATAATTTTGGAATCGTTATCGTTTGAAAATGTTAGACCAATGGCAATGACACTTCCGGTTTATGTGCCTTATTGTTGATGCTTGGGTTTTGTGCTTTCGCGGTGAACTAAGAAGAGTATTGTTCTCAAATATTATTTCATAATGATAGTCCACAATATGTGAACTAAATTATGAGTTGGATATCTTTAAGCATGATCTTCTTTCATTTGTCATTCATAGACATATGAATGATAACAGAATGGAAAGAAGCCATTTATGTTGGACTTGCCTTTATCCAGTTGGCATTCATGAATACCAAGTAAAATTTGATTGCTTACGTTTAATTTTCATTTTCTCACCAGGGAGAACGACATTTAATAAAAAAAAACCATTCCTCTGTCAAGCACGTGATTATGTAGACTGAAACATCTACAATTTTTAGTATATTTGTTTCAGATGAGAAATAAGTGATCTGAACGCACCATGGGTTGTGGATCATCAACCGATACCAAACCGACGAATAGTCGAGAGACTCGGGATACCGTCATCAGTGATGTAGATATAGACGACAACTTCAACGAATCGTCCAAAAACAAGAATTGGAGCAACTCCTCTAGGAAGTCCCCGTCGCACACCGCCAGCTCACCAGCTCTTACTAACAGACGTCAAGATTTGTCCAAGCATCAAACACTTAAATCGACCTCTGTCGATGAAGGTATTGAATTAGAAGCGTTAGACGAGGAAGATTATCCACCGAGACCGTGCAGATTGAAGAAATCTGATATGATACAACACCCTAGTATGTTTACGAGCATCGATAGCCATGTTGCGAAGGTACGTACAATAATGACACAACATAGAGTTTATATGGCCCTTCCAATGTTTTCTATTTGTGGTCCAAACAACGTAAAATCTCACGAAAAAGATGTCAAAATTACTAGCCCTGAATCAGTTTCTATTGGGTATACGTTGATGGCCCGAATTGACTGGCATATTAGTGTGACAACACGATGACTGACTTGAAATAGATCTCCATGGTCTTCCAAATCTTATCTACTATCAACAAACTTTCTTTCGCATGCAAGTATTATTATTATTTATTTTTGTTTTTTATTTGCTTATTTTTTCAAATTTCGCATCAAAACGAATTGGCGAAAGTTGACAACCGCGAATATAAAACAGTATGATGCAGTCTATATCGCAAAAGTTAAGCAGAAGTGAAATGACAATGGTTAATAATACCAAAACGAGGCCTAAATAGTGGCCTATGACATCAATAAATACAGTTTCATTTTTTTTTATTTTTGCAGACTCCTAAATCAGCGACAACATCTATCCCAGAACTAGCAAAATATCTTTGTCAGCCAGCAAAGAATCGGCTAGAAAAGATTCGGGCCATTTACCAATGGGTGTCGAGAAACATTGAGTAAGTGTAGGACTTCGAAAAAATGATGTTCAATAAGCTCGTCCAGGATGGCAAATAACTGTCATTTTACCATCTGAAGACTAACTGATATAGCGTTTCATCGCCAATAAAAAAGAAAAAGAAAAATGGTGAAGTGATCTGGTAATTAGCTTTACATTGAATTCGATTATGTATGTATGTATGTATGTATGTGTGTGTGTGTGTGTGTGTGTGTGTGTATGTGTGTAATGGTGTGTGTGTGTGTGTGTGTGTGTGTGACATAAGTATGTATTTTGTCTAACTCTCATTTAGTCATTAGTCAATGGAATGTTGCAGATATGACGTCGCCGGATTCTTCAATCTGGGTGGAGCTCAAAGAAAATCATGTGATCCAGAGTCTGTACTGCGCAGCCGCAGCAGTGTGTGTCAGGGCTACGCTGACCTATTTTTATTTCTCTGCAGGTGAGTCATTTCTGTCCTTAATGTACGTATCAGACAAGATTTCCCTCAAACTCGAAGTGATCTATTGATGTGTTTTCGACGTCATTTGAAAACAAATGTGCTTGTTGTATATTCTTTATTGGTGTATATTGTCGTTCAATATACATTTTGTTTCGTTATATCTTCCGAAGGTTGTCATTGTGATTGACGATATTGTTTTGTGGTAGCACTAAAATCTCCAATGTTCAATGCTTGCTGACGTTATGGTACCTTTCGGCCTACCTCGGGTGATTCCAGTAAACTTCATTGATTGGTATTAATTTTGTTACGAAATCAGCCGAGATGTGACGAGCGGTAATGTGTGTAGTTCATATTATTAGTTTGTTTGATAATCTGTTGCTTTCTTCATGGTGTGCTATATATGTTTCGACTTCTAATCGCTGTCCTTGGGCACTGACGATGTAAAATGTTGATTTTTCAAAATCCCCTCCTGTTAGCAAATTTTGAACTTTATGTAAAATTTCTAAAGATGTATTTGGTCTGGCCGGTACTACATTTTTTCTCTCAGACACAATATTTTTTACGACGTTTGATATTTCAGAGAAGCACGTGTTCCAGCGAAGACCATCTCTGGATATGCCAAGGGATATGGCCACAAACCTGGCGTCGCCATAACAACCAAGACAGATACCAACCATGCGTGGAATGCTGTGTTTGTTCAAAATGAATGGCGGCTTGTTGATTGCACGTGGGACGCCGGTCACGTGGACGGTAATACATTCCACAGACATGAAGGAGAGTTTTATTTCTTGACTGACCCAGATGTCTTCATCAACGACCATTTCCCATACAACAAAACGGACATGGCAGTAAGTCAGCAGTGGCAGCTGATAAGCCCTCCACATGACTTAGAGACATTCAGCAAGTCTGCTGCGATAAAAAAGCATGCCTTTCTGTATAATCTTGAATTCATGTCACACAGAGATGCGGTGATTACAGTGAACAAGGACGTCATTGTCAAATTTGTTGCTAAAGGGAAGGCTCTCAAAAATACAGGAGCACACCTTAATGATATGGAGGGAACTTCGTTCGACCAATGCGTATTTGTCGAAAAAGAAAGAGACAAAACCTATTGTGTAACCGTTAAACCTCAAAAACCGGGAACATACAATCTGAGAATATTCGGTAACCAAGGAGAACAACAAACTTTAGATAGTCTAGTTACATACGTGATTGAATGTAAAACAGTTGACAAGGCCGTAAAATCATTTCCGGTTCATTTCGGTTTGTGGGGAGCCGGACCTTACTACGCAGATTTCGGTTTCGACGATCGAGTAGCACAAAAGGCATTGTTTGAATCGGATTCAGGAGAATTAGAAATACGTTTGCCGTTCACGGAACCAGTAAAAGCTTTAGGAAAACTGGCTAACTCAGAAGATGAGAATGGCGATGATCAATTTCTAATGATGGAGCAAGGGCAAAGTGAGCTCCTGGTCCATGTACGAATGAACAGATTGGGATTTTACAAATTACTCATATTTGCTAAAAAGGAAAAAAGTGCCTCTTATGACCTAGCATTGCAGTATCTCATTAACTGTAAGAATCCGGGGAAACAGTATCAGGCATTCCCGCATGTCTATCCTGAAGCTTTGGCAGGACGCATGACCCTAGTTGAACCTAAAACAAGGTCACTTCCGGCGGAAACGAAAGTTCATTTTCGACTTAGTTCTTCCGTTATCGACACTCTAATGATAGGACATACTACCTTTGAAAGAGGAGTCAACAACACTTGGGACGTAGATGTGGTGACGCCATCTTCTGGCGAAAATTTATGCGTTTTCGGACGTAGCAGTAACACTGGTGGTGGTTCCTTCACCGGTCTTTACAAATTTGACATTAGATGATTGTAGATATTCTAATATCTTATTGTCTTAGATAACGTCTAGAACGAAGCCCGGTTATACTGTAAAAATTGTTTTCATCTTGAAATTGTAGGAACTTTATGTCAAGCGGTTAATAGACTTGAGGTATCCGAAAAGCAAAGAATTTTACTGAAAAACGTACGTTAATAACACATCCTAGATTTTTGTATCAACAACAACTGCTTAACAAGCTGTCAGCTGATGGAAGAAATCGGACATGTTCATGGGGAGACCCACGTGGCATGTGACCTCATACATTTCCTGTTATGCCTAGTTCATAGGTCATTTTATTATCGCAGTTTTTCCCGGCCACTCTTCCTGCACTTTTTCCATGAAGTCAGGGGTCAAAGTGCGCAAATCTATGAAGGGAAGTATAAAAATCAGAACAACCATAGAACACATCTTAAAATATGTTTGTTGTCATAAAATGACCTCAATATATGTTTATCACATCTACAGAAGACGCAAGTTAAACATTTTCATATTTCCTGTTGTTGCAGCAAAGGCTTTTGAAATGTAAAATCTTTTCATATACCTATCTTCAACAACATCGCAGTTTTCAATCGTCCTTCTGTGGTCTGCATTTTAAGTTCAGACTAAATCTGTTCTACAATTGCTTGCATGACAATAGAATAGAAATTTTTATATCACAACCAGTAGAAGATTGGACTTCACGGTCATCTTCATCACACAAAAGCCCAGTGTGAAGCGTACTAACACTGACAAAAGCAATACACTACCTTGTGTATTTTTGGTCTATAATCTGTTTACCATCTCGTCACACTATTTTCGACCTTGGTGTACATACGGTTATATAAAGTTAGTCGATTTCGTACCATCTCGTCCACTACGTAGGCCAGTGATATTACGCTATACTCTGGTCATTTGTCTGATGAAGGTGACCATGTAGGTATCGAAACGTCACTCCGTAATCTTCTACTGGTTGTGTTATAATATGAAGGTGACCGTGTAGTCATCGAAACGTCACACTCTAATCTTCTACTGGTTGACATTATTGACAAAATGTTCCAAAATATGCTTAAATGATAGTTGTTTTGGAGGCTATTTGCTACATAGCTATTATTTTGATTCTTTATTTTGTTAAATTGTTACATTTTCAAGGTTATATTTATACTCTAGCTCTTTCAAAGTGTTTGTGTCATTTATTCAGTATAAAATGTTTTTAAAACATTGTGCGATCAGGACTAGGTTAAACCCAAGGGTCAAGAAGTTGTCTATGGGTATTTGCATTCTTAAAGGGGAAACACGACATTTTAAGCTAGGTCGACAATATTTCATTTGTTGTTATAAAAAATATTGTTTATGTGCTTTGAAATATGTCACAATAACATGAATATTCATATTGGAAGATTATATTGTTGTGAAAGTAGTTAATCCCGAAACACATATCCCTAATTGGGTAACCTGGCTGTGTCTAATGGGTTTATAGTCCGTTTCAAATTAGTTATCTCGTGTATATCTATTAACCTGTGCTTTTATCTGTAGCTACGTGTTATATTGTGTTTAGTTGCTTTGGTAGGAAACTGGTGATGTTAAATATGATAAAATCAATACATATTGAAATTTATTTTCATTTCAAATCTAGAAATTTTCTTCATGTTAAACAAAATAAAGTAATTATCATTAAAATTTTACTTCTTCACTAATGATTATACCTGTATTATTCTTTAAGAAATGTAAACTATTTTTGTAGTCTGATAATGACGCTATATTGTATTGTATGAAATGTTGGATTATATACTGATAACGTTAATGTTTTTAGCAGTGAACTTATTGTAGCGATTGTGTTGATTACAGTGCCTTTAAGCTGATTAAATAGCAATTATTGTAGAACAATGAATGGATCGTTACTCTAATTTGCCAGTGTAATGATAACGAGCTAAAATCATATTGCACTGTATTAAGTACGTTTAAAATATTCATCTGTAACATTTGACCGCATTTTGTTCCAGCACGGAATGTGATGAACATCTGTCACAAGGTACAAGCGGAGAGTTTAAAATAGTGATTAGTATTAACTTCTGACCCCACGCGCTCGCTCTCTCTCTCTCTCTCTCTCTCTCTCTCTCTCTCTCTCTCTCTCTCTCTCCACGTAAGATCTCATATGATATAAACTGCATTATTACATTTTGTTCGAAAATGGATACATACCGATTATCTTCCACTGTCCGAGAAGTCTATTTGTATTAGAAAACAAGTACCTGTCACGATCACCTATTTCTCGAGGTTATATCAAACATCTCTATATAGACCAATCTGAGTTATATAACCTTGACATTCATACTAAGGGGCCCTAGATCATACATTATATCGACAGGATGCAATTTACAACAATTGATAAAACATTAAATAAACGAGTTAAAGACTAAACTTTTTGTAATCACAAATCTTCAAATAGATAAACTTCTGCATAGACAATAACAGAAATCCATTCATAAATACCATGAAATAGAGACATGGTTATTGCGTACTCACAAGTAAACGGAACAGTGTACAAAACCTCAGTATACCGTACCTCATATGGCACGACCGCATATATAGAATCCATTAGGAATGGGCACATGTGGAGCACTCTTTTAGGGAGCTTTGTTCATGTGACAACCCATGCTCGACAGGAAAATCACACTTGGCTTCTTCTTGAAGACGTGTTTAACACGCTCTTGTATTCTGTATATATATAACAGGACAACTCTTAATCGCGGTGTTTCGAATCTATTCATTTCAAATGCACTCATTTCAGAATACCAATGAAATCAGACAGAGAACTAATGTCGGGCATTGCATTTTGTAAATTGTGGTGATGAATTTCGATCTTCACCTCCGTTTAACTGATTTTATTTCATTGTTTTTACATGAAATCGGTAGGTATCACGGGATAGGTAACGTATATAGAACGTATGTGAAAGAGATCCGCAACACCAGAGAATAATAGCTTCAAATTCTCACCATATTTCAGTATTTTCGCGAAAAAATTGCTACGTAGTTGGTTATTTAAAACATGAATACCTCCTAACAGTTTGATTTAATTCGTTGAATTGAATTTTAAGTGAGATAGCACCATGTATGCAAATGATTCTAAAACCACATAGACGACGTCATGACACCAATATAAGAAATGCACCAAAGGTAGGATGGTGGGCGTGTCTTTGCTTTTAAAAAGGGGGCTTTTAAACGTCACTATGTCCAAATTTGACAACATATTTAAATGAGTTATTTAAATATGCAAATTGGATTTCCCCGATATTTTCGATTTACGCTTGATCACGATCTACTTATTATGTAAGTAATCAACACGGACTAGGTGAATTCTACAATAATTTGCTGGTGATTGGAATATCGAGAAAAGCGGACTTACTTATTACCTTTTCACTTATTTCAAGGTTTTATCATCGCAACGTAGTAAAATGTTACAATGAACTTGTTTTTTGTCATCGAATGATATATGACTAACTAGTAATCATCGTTTGATTCCAAGATGAGCTTTTGTATTATACATTAATCATAGACAATTTGAAAAACATACTGCTGGCGTCATCTTATAGTGTAAAACAGGTTATCTGTCGTACGACATTAAATGTACACTTACAGAAAAAAAACTAGCGAATAGATATTTTGTTTCCTCAATAAAAGATCAGACTTTTGGATTGTATATTATTTGGGTGATTTTTAGTGTAAGGGTAGGGTTGCAGTGCTTGTTGATAAGGAGATATTTGAATTTTTGGCATTTTAACATAAACAATCATTAATGTACTGACCACATCATTGTCATCTTTGTTTTTCTTGACACATGTTTTGCATTTCACACAAACACAAACATAAAATATGTTCAATAGATGGAGTAAACTACATACTTAATAAGATTCCTAAATTTTCACTCTGTCATGTGTAACGTAACGATAGCACAGTGGTAAGCTCTCCGCTCTCGATTCTAAAGATGCTTGGATCGAAACCTCAGTTGAGATTTTTTTTTCTTTTTTGTTTCCCCAACTGAAAAGGGAAATTACATGATATCGAAACTTACACGACATTGTTTCTATTTTGTATCGTTAGAGGTCATTGAAAATAATGAAACTATTAAATCGTTGATTGTTTGAGAGTTGAAATTTAATCTTTACATAAATCTTTTAATTCTCAAATTGTTTCCAATCACTAGAACTTCAGGTTATCTCTTAAGCGTACGAAATTCTTTTTCTCATCAACAACAAAAAAAGTGGCATGACATAGATATTTCTATAAGGAATTCTCATTCTCTCAATACAATTAAATCAAGTATCAGTAAGACAGAAATAATACATGATAAATGCATTTAGGTTTGGGATTTACGTACTTTAAACATACTTCATTTCCGTTTGAGAAATCCTGCCAGATCTCTTGATTACGCATTTTCAGAGAAAATGGTAATACAGCTGAATGAAGATGCAGCAACCAATGTGAAGACTTTAATTACTATTTTGATGTTTGTCCCCTTTACATTCATAATCGAAATCTATTAATGAGACAGTTACAACCTCTCTTTGAGAATTTGATAAGATTTATTCATATATGGCGATCAGAAATTAAGCAAAGATGATGATATCTCTTAATTGCAAAAAATGTAACATAGTGATTTCATTGAATGTGACTCTCTCTCTCTCTCTCTCTCTCTCTCTCTCTCTCTCTCTCCACGTAAGATCTCATATGATATAAACTGCATTATTACATTTTGTTCGAAAATGGATACATACCGATTATCTTCCACTGTCCGAGAAGTCTATTTGTATTAGAAAACAAGTACCTGTCACGATCACCTATTTCTCGAGGTTATATCAAACATCTCTATATAGAACAATCTGAATCATATAACCTTGACATTCATACTAAGGGGCCCTAGATCATACATGATATCGACAGGATGCAATTTACAACAATTGATAAAAAGTTAAATAAACGAGTTAAAGACTAAACTTTTTGTAATCACAAAT